TCACATAGAGTTTGACAGTTTGCGTGGCATCTGTTGGTGGTACGGTGCACGACAGCGCCGATGAAGACAACCATTCAGATTCGTTTGAAACTCGTTGACCAAACTTGCACGCAATGCTAGCCGGTGGAAATTCAACCCCTTCAATAAGCACACTCGACCTTCCCAGTATCGTGTCAAATGAAGGAAACACCTTTGACACCACCGGAGTCTTGAAATAGACAAATAGCTGCCCTAGTGTGAGAGGAATTCCAGACGAGGGCGAAGACAATTGGACACGTACAGAAGTATTCGCGTCAGAAGTCAAAGCAGGGCTATAGCATATCAAAAGCGTGGAGGTAAGTTGAGACGAGCTCGTTCTCTGAAAGCCAAAAGACACAGCAGCAGATCTCGAAAAATGGCAATCATGGAGTGAAATCCTTATCCGTGTACTTCCTGAATCAGGTCCCGATGTAGGCACCATAGAAAATCTACAAAGCTGGGGAACAAACAAAACCTTGACAAATTGTGCGAGACGATCCCCTAGAGAATATGCCAAATCCATTACGAACGTACCCGTGACTTTCGAGAAAATCTGGCAACGAACGTGGGAAATTGACATTATCTCTGCAGGGAACAGACTCGTTCCTGAGACTCTGCAAAACAATGGGCCTGGAGAGACTCCAAAATGACCCGTCAAGGTCACTGCTGAAGATTTAGTGCCGGCATGTAGCATCGAGGGCATTATACTGTAAACCTCTGGTAGACTGTACACTCGATATTGAGTCTTGAATATAGGAATCAAACCAGCGAACCTGCACAAAAATATATTGTTGAACACGCCCAAAATCAGGCACTAAACAATTGATTAGACTCGACGATATCCACTCCACGCCTCTCCCCTCCACGGCCTTGTCCCCAAACCAGCACCTCAGCCCCTCTCGCCCGATTCCCTCTCCTGTGATGGTCACCCTCGATCCTCCCCCTGCTCCACCTTGACTTGGAGATACACTTATGAGCCTGGCTTGAAGTACGTACTGGAACCTTAGGTCCCCTAATAGCTTCTGTCCACTCGGTCGTCGCACTTGTACAGAGACGGTAGAGGGCATCGATGGTGGCAGATTGCATGCCACGGAAGCGTTGTCCGGCGATGACACGTTCAATTGCCCGCGGCTCATAGAGTCTCCGAATACACAGAGCCACTCCCCAGTCCCGTCCTCACCTCCGATCGTCCCTTCAAGCATCACTCTCACGACCGTTCCTCCCACTGACGGTCCCTGACTAGGTACCACGGACTTTGCTGACATCCCTGAGCGGTACTCATACCTCACGCTGACGATGCCGCTAGCGGTCTCTCCTTCTACTCCGTTGTTGCTCACCGATACCCCGACCGCCCCCGGACCCCCTCTCGGCGCTACACAGACTACCGCCGTCGACGTCATCGGCATGCCCCGTACCCGCCCCCTTGTCCCGAACAAGCAGCTCAGCCCTTGTCCCGACCCGAAGTGGCGGCCTATCACCGTCACGGTCTGCCCGTCGACCCCGCTATCTCCCGCGGACGGCCTCACCTCGTCCACCGTAGCCCCGGCCTCATATGCGTACTCGACTGCAGATCCGGAGAAGTCCGCGCCTCCGTTGAGGCTCACCTGCAGCCTGACTACCGTACTGCCAAGCAGTGATGCGGGCGTGGTACATAGCAGCAATGATGAGCTAAGGCTCGTAACGTCCTTGCCCTGGACTATGGACGGGCCAAATTGACAAACGGGATCTCGGGATATGAGGCCCTGGCCCACGACACTTACCACCATACCTCCCGTCTGTCTCCCTATGCTGGGCACCACCGAGCTTACCTCTGGCCCCTCGTAGTAGACGAATGCAGACTTGCCCTTGACAACGACGTTACCAAGATCGTCCACCAACGACATCTTCGTTTCTCCTGCCCGCAAGCTTGTAGGCGACTTACAGCTGATCAGCGACGTGGTCAAAGCTTGTGCTTGCACGACTGAGGTTCCAAAAACGCAACCCCAAGGTCTCTCTGTCGTCCATGACAACGCCGCCCGACGCAAACCGTCGACTGCTATGGTCACGTTGGTACCCCCAGCCAACGGCCCTGAGCTTGGGGTGACCTTGCGTATTACCTTAAGATCACCGCTGTACACGAACCCGCCCCTTGTTTGCCCTTCATCCACTCCGTTGTTGCTCACCGATACCCCGACCGCCCCCGGACCCCCTCTCGGCGCTACACAGACTACCGCCGTCGACGTCATCGGCATGCCCCGTACCCGCCCCCTTGTCCCGAACAAGCAGCTCAGCCCTTGTCCCGACCCGAAGTGGCGGCCTATCACGGTCACGGTCTGACCGTCGACCCCGCTATCTCCCGCGGACGGCCTCACCTCGTCCACCGTAGCCCCGGCCTCATATGCGTACTCGACTGCAGATCCGGAGAAGTCCGCGCCTCCGTTGAGGCTCACCTGCAACCAGACGACGTCCTTGACTGGGCGCGGGGGTGCAACACAGGTGGCCATCGTAGAAGTCTCTTGCCGGCCTGCGACCGCATCTCCGGTCCCGAACCTGCACGTTAGATTGCTGCCTTCTTCCAGCCCCCGCCCATACAGGCTCAGCATGGTACCCCCTTCCAGAGCGCCACTGCTTGGCTCCACGCGAGTCACCACAGGCTCATTGTAGTAAACATACCTCACTTCTCCCTCAAGGCCCCTACTCGACCCTTGGGCTCCCTCTACTGCCCGTATCAGCACTGTCCCGCTCTTCTGTACAGCCGGCATGGTGCAAAGGATCCTGGAGCTGCTGAGCGCTTGGGCCTGCACCACCTGACCTTCCCCAATACGACAGAAGATAGCTGACGCAAAGCCTGCACCTCCTCGCACGCTCATGACGACGGCGGTACCTCCTGTCACCGGCCCGCTGCTCGGCTCGACTGCATGGACATGTCCCCTACTTACGACCGTGTATTGACCGTTGCTATTGCCATGTATGCCCTGCTCATCGCCCAAGTACACAGCGACGGTACCGGGAAGGAGCTTCGGCACGGCACACTTGACCAGAGTAGAGCTGGAATAGAGGGCTGGAGTGCTCACTCGGAAGCCGAACCAGCAGTCAAGACGATGCTGGCGCGGATAGAACATCGCACCAAAGATTGTAATCACCATGTCTCCATCTGTACCTCCTGTGGACGGCCACACACTCTTTACATCGATCTTGCTGCTTGTCGATACTAGGGTGTTACTTGAGGTGAAGTCTACACCATCGTTCAAACTGATCGATACCCAAGTCCTGCCTACGCTTTGCGGAAGAGGAGGAGACACACAAAGAATCTTGGTGGAAGTCTGGCTCGTGCCTGGGAGTACCTTGCTGTCTCCAGACTCAAAAGTCAATCGACACATGGAGTGATTGGCCATGAGATGTCTGCCAAGTACACTGACGAAGGCCGTACCTCCGCCAGATTGCCCAACCCAGAACGCACTGTCAACGACAGGATCATCATAATAGAAGAAAGTCACGGCTTGATCAAAGTCCACCACGCCAGAGAGAGAGGATAGACTCGATGGGACGAGCTGTATTTTGACAGAACCTGTTTCTCCATGTGCAGGGGATACACATGCAATGCTGTGGTTGTAAACTGCGACGTTGACCGTCTGGTAATCAAATAAACAAGTTGAGATCTTCAGTGAGTCCTGAATACCAACCAGTCGTACGACTGAGCCTCCCAGAGATGGACCGCTGGTCGGCCAGATTGTAAATCTAGAGTTCATTCCTTTGTTGTAATACAGATACAACAAGTAGGCAGAAGCTAAAGCATCGATAGGAGCATTATTATGACCATCCTTGGTCACAGTCACTCTTACCATACCAGGCTTTTGCTCTGGAATAGAGCACAGCACTCTCACAGAAGACACATACAAAGCGCGTACGACATGGCCTGCTCCAAACCAACAGAGAAGATCTCCGGCGTCGGTGAAATGCCTTCCGTGGACAGTCACAACTTGGTTGCTCATCTTGCTGTAGGCTGTTGAAGGCTGAAGAGAGAGCACGGTCGGGTCAGCCTCGTATGTGAAGACCACCTCGTCTGATGAGAACGTCTGCCCACCGTCCAAGCTTACTCTGACCAAGGTCTGACCTATTGCCTCGGAAATAGGAGCAATGCATTCGATGAGAGTGGAGGAGACAATCCTCGTTCCATCCTCGGGAGAAGACAGATTCCCAAGTTTACACCTTGCTCGGTCTCCCAAGAAGCCTATTCCTATGATTCGTATTGATGATCGGCCATGTTGGGACCCTCGTCTTGGATAGATATCGACGACATGTACTGCCGGCAGGTACAGAAAGGGCCTCGTGCCCACAAGGGTACCACTTGCTCGGCATGTCGTAAGTACACTCACGGTAACCACACCATACCTGAAGCTTGCCGGCACTGTGCAAAGGACGGCTGAAGTGCTTAGCAAAGTGACTTTCGTACCGTTGTGCCCAAAGAAACAGCAGATTTCTTCTGTTGTATCATACATGCCGGAGTGGATCCCAGTAATTGTTACAAGGGTCCCTCCACTCAATGGGCCAGAGGTAGGTTGAATCATGAAGGATTGAGCTCCTAGCACAGACACAAAACATCCTGGCCCCGACACAAACCCATGCCAACCTGTCCTGACCGCAACAGCCACTGTCCCACTGACATTTCTCGGTGTTTGGCAGACAATGAGTGTCGATGAGATGTAATCCCCCTGTATGATACTATTACTGCCATAGAGACACGATACATAATTTGGTACGTTCTTGAAAAGCTTCCCAATCACAGATATCGTGCTTTGATGTGAGACCCCTGGCCTGATGACTTTTGGAAATATCCCGTGTACAGAAGGGGGGTCCTCGTAAAGAAAAGCTGGTCCGTTTGTCGAGTACTCCCTCCCTCCATCATTGCTGACTTTCACTTCTACAGGTCCCGGCACAGATTGTTCGGGTACCAAGCACTGTATTAGACTGGACGTTACCCACTTCACTGCGGACCTTGTACAATTCGCGTTACCAAATCGACATCGCAGCCCCACTCCCGCGTCGAAGCCTGACCCAATGACAGTTACCCTTGACCCTGAACGTGGCTTGAGGCTCCCGACACTCGGCATGATGCCCACGATTTCCGCAGGATTGATATATTCAAATAGAACATGAGTACTCCTCCCAGCTACTCGTCCCCACTGCAAGTAGACGTCTACAACACCAGCCTCTTGCCGTCCTGGTAATATGCATACCACATGCGACGAATGCTGAGCGATCGCAACTGAAGACACCTGGTCTACCCAGCACAACGCGGGGCCATCTTGTGTAGGAAAACCACTTCCATGGACAGTGATCTGCCCTCCTCCTGACAGTGATCCCTGGCTAGGAGTTACATCAAAGATCTGTATCGCATACCTATACTGGACCACTGCAGCACCTACTCCGCGATCTACTCCATTGTTACTGATTCCGACAGCATATGTGCCAGTATCAAGCATCGGCACAGAGCATTGCACCAGGGTTGAAGTCTGATATAAACCAAGTACTGATTTGGATCCACCAAATTTGCACGTCAGTGAATTGCTGTCCTGAAAGTGCTCTCCAGTCAGAACCACAACACTCTGATATACCATCGAGCCCATGTTCGCAAAGTGTACCGTTGCATCAGGTGCATATGTGAAGCTCAGCTTCATGGCAGACATTTCTATACTGCCGTCAAGGCTCACTTGTACAACAACACGTCCAACAAAGCTTGATGCAGGTGTAAGACACTCAAGAGCCGATGATGATATCAGCTGGGAACGGGCTGCCTCAACTCCGCCGAACAGGCATCTATGTGATGGCTCTAGGTTGGATCCAACAACGAGCACAGAAGTACCTCCGTTCTTCGATCCCACGGTCGGAGTAACTCTATCAGTCAACGCCGGAACCCTGTATGCGAAACTCGTATCCAGGTACACATCTCCTCCTTCCGCTCGGTGCAGCATGACCTTCACCCCTACCACTTTGTCGTTGCCAAGGTACTGTGGGCTGACACAGACAAGACTGTTACGAGCAACGATGCGTCCTGGCACATACGCACTGCCAAACCAACAGCCTCCTTCCGTATAGGTGTCTTGAAGCGTGTTGCTCCGAACCGTCACTTCTGTGCCCCCCAAGGATGACCCAGTGCTCGGGCTCAAGTCAGCTGAATGATAATGCTCGTAAACAAACCAAACCCCTTCCTCACTCTTCAACCCATCCTGAGCTACTGTCAACAAAACAGTGCTCGGCTTGCTCCTTGGCACGGAGCATACCAAGCTGGATGACGTGAGATATACAGCACGCGTTTCTGCACTTGTTCCAAAGTGACAGACATGTCGACAGCCTTGCTTGAAAGAGTCTCCGGAAATGGTGACAACCTGGTTGGGCGTATCGCTCATCGCTCTCGAAGGGCTCACACCTGTCAAGACAGCTCCGTCCTCGTATAGTATCTCTGCACCGCTATCAGTGAAGTCATACCCTCCATTCAAGCTGATCTCCAGCGATCTTGTTGTAGTTTGGTTAGAGGGTATGGTGAAGCATAGTACTAGACTAGAAGATTGCCATCGGCCAGCTGCTATGGAGAAGCCGCTGCCAAATCCACACGAAATCCCTCCTTGCCGAAAGCCAGTGCCGTAGACGCTCACAATCTGGCCACCTCCCCTACCTACCACAGATGGATCTATTCTCTTTAGGGCTGGAGAGAGGAAATACTCGTAAACTTGACCATTGTCCAGGCTGTATCTATTGGCAAATACTGAGACAGTAACTCTTCCTTCTTGATTAGTTTGAGGAGAGGTGCAGACCAAAGTATGGTTTCCAACAAAGCTTCCTTGCACCTCATCGTTCCCAAATCGGCACCTGTATTTGAAGCTAATTTCATGTTCTTTCAGACCAATCACGCTTACACTACTGCCTCCACGTATGGGTCCAGCTGTGGGAAAGATAGCATCAATTCTTCCTATGTCCAAGAACAAGTACTGTAGACTTTGCTCACTGCCACTCGGTTGCTTGTATGGCGAACATGTGAACTGAGAAAGTCCAGCCTGTTTGACCAAAGGTACTGTACACACAGCCATTGATGATGATACACTTACAGCACGTACTGTGTGTCCTAAGCCAAGCCTACAGTAGACTGAAGCAGCATTGAGATGAAAGCCCTCTCCTATCAAGGTTGCAATCTGACCTTGAAGGTTGACAATACCAATAGAAGGACTGATACTCTTGAGAAGGGGAATACCAACACCATTATAAATTACGGGTGGTCCACAAATCTGTCCCTGAAAATAAAGCAAGATCTTGGAATATCCTCCCGCCTCATTCATTGCTACAGTCATGCACGTCACCAGGCTTGACGATATCCACTCCACGCCTCTCCCCTCCACGGCCTTGTCCCCAAACCAGCACCTCAGCCCCTCTCGCCCGATTCCCTCTCCTGTGATGGTCACCCTCGATCCTCCCCCTGCTCCACCTTGACTTGGAGATACACTTATGAGCCTGGCTTGAAGTACGTACTGGAACCTTAGGTCCCCTGATAGCTTCTGTCCACTCGGTCGTCGCACTTGTACAGAGACGGTAGAGGGCATCGATGGTGGCAGATTGCATGCCACGGAAGCGTTGTCCGGCGATGACACGTTCAATTGCCCGCGGCTCATAGAGTCTCCGAATACACAGAGCCACTCCCCAGTCCCGTCCTCACCTCCGATCGTCCCTTCAAGCATCACTCTCACGACCGTTCCTCCCACTGACGGTCCCTGACTAGGTACCACGGACTTTGCTGACATCCCTGAGCGGTACTCATACCTCACGCTGACGATGCCGCTAGCGGTCTCTCCTTCTACTCCGTTGTTGCTCACCGATACCCCGACCGCCCCCGGACCCCCTCTCGGCGCTACACAGACTACCGCCGTCGACGTCATCGGCATGCCCCGTACCCGCCCCCTTGTCCCGAACAAGCAGCTCAGCCCTTGTCCCGACCCGAAGTGGCGGCCTATCACCGTCACGGTCTGCCCGTCGACCCCGCTATCTCCCGCGGACGGCCTCACCTCGTCCACCGTAGCCCCGGCCTCATATGCGTACTCGACTGCAGATCCGGAGAAGTCCGCGCCTCCGTTGAGGCTCACCTGCAGCCTGACTACCGTACTGCCAAGCAGTGATGCGGGCGTGGTACATAGCAGCAATGATGAGCTAAGGCTCGTAACGTCCTTGCCCTGGACTATGGACGGGCCAAATTGACAAACGGGATCTCGGGATATGAGGCCCTGGCCCACGACACTTACCACCATACCTCCCGTCTGTCTCCCTATGCTGGGCACCACCGAGCTTACCTCTGGCCCCTCGTAGTAGACGAATGCAGACTCTATACTCAATGTTGGACCATGGTTGGACAGTTCTATCTCTATCTTCGTTTCTCCTGCCCGCAAGCTTGTAGGCGACTTACAGCTGATCAGCGACGTGGTCAAAGCCCGTCCCCTTACTGCGTTTCTGTTTTCCGAAATTCCCCGGAATAAACACCACAAAGGCATTTCCGACTTCCATAACAACGCCGCCCGACGCAAACCGTCGACTGCTATGGTCACGTTGGTACCCCCAGCCAATGGCCCTGAGCTTGGGGTGACCTTGCGTATTACCTTAAGATCACCGCTGTACACGAACCCGCCCCTTGTTTGCCCTTCATCCACTCCGTTGTTGCTCACCGATACCCCGACCGCCCCCGGACCCCCTCTCGGCGCTACACAGACTACCGCCGTCGACGTCATCGGCATGCCCCGTACCCGCCCCCTTGTCCCGAACAAGCAGCTCAGCCCTTGTCCCGACCCGAAGTGGCGGCCTATCACCGTCACGGTCTGACCGTCGACCCCGCTATCTCCCGCGGACGGCCTCACCTCGTCCACCGTAGCCCCAGCCTCATATGCGTACTCGACTGCAGATCCGGAGAAGTCCGCGCCTCCGTTGAGGCTCACCTGCAACCAGACGACGTCCTTGACTGGGCGCGGGGGTGCAACACAGGTGGCCATCGTAGAAGTCTCTTGCCGGCCTGCGACCGCATCTCCGGTCCCGAACCTGCACGTTAGATTGCTGCCTTCTTCCAGCCCCCGCCCATACAGGCTCAGCATGGTACCCCCTTCCAGAGCGCCACTGCTTGGCTCCACGCGAGTCACCACAGGCTCATTGTAGTAAACATACCTCACTTCTCCCTCAAGGCCCCTACTCGACCCTTGGGCTCCCTCTACTGCCCGTATCAGCACTGTCCCGCTCTTCTGTACAGCCGGCATGGTGCAAAGGATCCTGGAGCTGCTGAGCGCTTGGGCCTGCACCACCTGACCTTCCCCAATACGACAGAAGATAGCTGACGCAAAGCCTGCACCTCCTCGCACGCTCATGACGACGGCGGTACCTCCTGTCACCGGCCCGCTGCTCGGCTCGACTGCATGGACATGTCCCCTACTTACGACCGTGTATTGACCGTTGCTATTGCCATGTATGCCCTGCTCATCGCCCAAGTAAACAGCGACGGTACCGGGAAGGAGCTTCGGCACGGCACACTTGACCAGAGTAGAGCTGGAATAGAGGGCTGGAGTGCTCACTCGGAAGCCGAACCAGCAGTCAAGACGATGCTGGTACGGATTGAAATGTTTGCCTCTCAATTGTATGATCGGGGGGTTGCTAGTTTTCATCTCGGAGGTCAGTGATTCAATTTGTGGAGGCTTCAGGAGCTCGATCAAAATCGGGTTCGTTGAACTTTGATTACCTGTGTACTTGTACTCAATTGTAAGGAAATAATTTGATGCCTGCAAGTTGCCGACATTGCACACGAGTTTTGTTGATGACAATGTTTTCACATCGCTTCTTCTCGTCAAGCGATTGAAGATGCAAGATGGCACAAGCTCGCCATGAAATGCCTGTCCAATCACTGTCAATGTTTGAGATGTGCCGGCATAAGTTGTCCTTGGGGTAATGTCGTATATTTGGGATGGTACAAAGTATAAGAATATGGATTCCATTTTGTAGCTTCCGCTGATAACTGACAGTGTTACAGCTTCTGTGGAATTATGTAGACCTGAGAAAGGAGGTGAAATACATTCAACTTTGTTTGAGGCTATCCATCTCCCTTGTACTACAGATTGTCTGAACCAGCACCGTACTGGGTCACGAGGGCGCATTTCTTGATGTTGGCTCTCCACCAATATTTGGGATCCTCCGGTGCTGGGACCAAGACTTGGATGTATTCTGACTCCATCGCGCTGACATTTTGAAATTTCAGACTTGAAGATCTTCCTTCCATCAACCACAATGTTGAGCAGAGTTTGCTTGTAGGAAATTTGTGGCACAGAGCATGTTATCGCTGAAGAAGACATCAGAAAGCCACGAGTTGTCGTTCTATGTGCAAATCGACATTCAGAAACTGACAGTTCTGAAAAGCTGTCTCCAACAACTGTAATCAAATCCTCATCTCTGATGCAATGGTTGTGCACTACTTCGAAAACCTGAGGAGTCTTTACATAGACGAATCTTGAGACTTCTACACCATCAAGGTATTCTTGACCATCAACCGTAAAAGTGACATGTACCACTCGTTCATGATATACGATAGGTGCACTACAGAGCAGCAAGGTGGAAGTTACGAAAGTAGTCTTTTTAGCATCTAATGTTTCTGTTCCGAACCTTACCCTAAGCAAGTCAGGTTGGAATAAAGTTCCAGATATATATATCCGAATGTCAGAATCGCCAACATGCCCAACAGATGGAGAGATGCCATTGACCATTGGAGGGAGGTAATACTGATATCGGGTAGATATTGGATAGGGAAGTGATGACTGCACTTGTACAACGCACGGGGATCGAGCCTTTGACGGTGGAGCCACAAGCAAGATATGAGAATGGTTGTACAGTTTACCTACCACCTCAATTGTACCAAATTTCACCACCAGAATTTCGTTATAATCCATGGGATCTACAAACGACAACCATATTCTTGTTCCACCCAACACAGGTCCTAAAGTTGGCCATAGCAATAAACGACCAGACCTGGGCAAAACCTCCAACACTGGACCATTTCTATCTCGGAATGAAGTACCTTCACTACTGACTTTCAGAGTGTAACGCCCTGGAACCAATTGATTAATTGTACACTTTACGATGCTTGAAGATTGAAAGAAGGCTGGAACACGTAATCTAGATCCAATGCTACAGCTCAAATCCTCCATATCTGAGAAATGAGAACCGTAAAGTGTAATTGCACTCAAGGCATTAAGCGGTACCGCCGTCGGTACGATTCGTGTTGTGGTCATCAGTGCAGTGTACATGAAATCTACCTGGGAATCTGTGAAGTCCACGCCGTGATTGAAACTCACATAGAGTTTGACAGTTTGCGTGGCATCTGTTGGTGGTACGGTGCACGACAGCGCCGATGAAGACAACCATTCAGATTCGTTTGAAACTCGTTGACCAAACTTGCACGCAATGCTAGCCGGTGGAAATTCAACCCCTTCAATAAGCACACTCGACCTTCCCAGTATCGTGTCAAATGAAGGAAACACCTTTGACACCACCGGAGTCTTGAAATAGACAAATAGCTGCCCTAGTGTGAGAGGAATTCCAGACGAGGGCGAAGACAATTGGACACGTACAGAAGTATTCGCGTCAGAAGTCAAAGCAGGGCTATAGCATATCAAAAGCGTGGAGGTAAGTTGAGACGAGCTCGTTCTCTGAAAGCCAAAAGACACAGCAGCAGATCTCGAAAAATGGCAATCATGGAGTGAAATCCTTATCCGTGTACTTCCTGAATCAGGTCCCGATGTAGGCACCATAGAAAATCTACAAAGCTGGGGAACAAACAAAACCTTGACAAATTGTGCGAGACGATCCCCTAGAGAATATGCCAAATCCATTACGAACGTACCCGTGACTTTCGAGAAAATCTGGCAACGAACGTGGGAAATTGACATTATCTCTGCAGGGAACAGACTCGTTCCTGAGACTCTGCAAAACAATGGGCCTGGAGAGACTCCAAAATGACCCGTCAAGGTCACTGCTGAAGATTTAGTGCCGGCATGTAGCATCGAGGGCATTATACTGTAAACCTCTGGTAGACTGTACACTCGATATTGCAAACCCTCTGAAACGAAAAAAATCCGTTCGAGGCCGATCGATACTACGCCATCATAGATGTTAAGCTCTGGAGTCATGCACGTCACCAGGCTTGACGATATCCACTCCACGCCTCTCCCCTCCACGGCCTTGTCCCCAAACCAGCACCTCAGCCCCTCTCGCCCGATTCCCTCTCCTGTGATGGTCACCCTCGATCCTCCCCCTGCTCCACCTTGACTTGGAGATACACTTATGAGCCTGGCTTGAAGTACGTACTGGAACCTTAGGTCCCCTGATAGCTTCTGTCCACTCGGTCGTCGCACTTGTACAGAGACGGTAGAGGGCATCGATGGTGGCAGATTGCATGCCACGGAAGCGTTGTCCGGCGATGACACGTTCAATTGCCCGCGGCTCATAGAGTCTCCGAATACACAGAGCCACTCCCCAGTCCCGTCCTCACCTCCGATCGTCCCTTCAAGCATCACTCTCACGACCGTTCCTCCCACTGACGGTCCCTGACTAGGTACCACGGACTTTGCTGACATCCCTGAGCGGTACTCATACCTCACGCTGACGATGCCGCTAGCGGTCTCTCCTTCTACTCCGTTGTTGCTCACCGATACCCCGACCGCCCCCGGACCCCCTCTCGGCGCTACACAGACTACCGCCGTCGACGTCATCGGCATGCCCCGTACCCGCCCCCTTGTCCCGAACAAGCAGCTCAGCCCTTGTCCCGACCCGAAGTGGCGGCCTATCACCGTCACGGTCTGCCCGTCGACCCCGCTATCTCCCGCGGACGGCCTCACCTCGTCCACCGTAGCCCCGGCCTCATATGCGTACTCGACTGCAGATCCGGAGAAGTCCGCGCCTCCGTTGAGGCTCACCTGCAGCCTGACTACCGTACTGCCAAGCAGTGATGCGGGCGTGGTACATAGCAGCAATGATGAGCTAAGGCTCGTAACGTCCTTGCCCTGGACTATGGACGGGCCAAATTGACAAACGGGATCTCGGGATATGAGGCCCTGGCCCACGACACTTACCACCATACCTCCCGTCTGTCTCCCTATGCTGGGCACCACCGAGCTCACCTCTGGCCCCTCGTAGTAGACGAATGCAGACTCTATACTCAATGTTGGACCATGGTTGGACAGTTCTATCTCTATCTTCGTTTCTCCTGCCCGCAAGCTTGTAGGCGACTTACAGCTGATCAGCGACGTGGTCAAAGCTTGTGCTTGCACGACTGAGGTTCCAAAAACGCAACCCCAAGGTCTCTCTGTCGTCCATGACAACGCCGCCCGACGCAAACCGTCGACTGCTATGGTCACGTTGGTACCCCCAGCCAACGGCCCTGAGCTTGGGGTGACCTTGCGTATTACCTTAAGATCACCGCTGTACACGAACCCGCCCCTTGTTTGCCCTTCATCCACTCCGTTGTTGCTCACCGATACCCCGACCGCCCCCGGACCCCCTCTCGGCGCTACACAGACTACCGCCGTCGACGTCATCGGCATGCCCCGTACCCGCCCCCTTGTCCCGAACAAGCAGCTCAGCCCTTGTCCCGACCCGAAGTGGCGGCCTATCACCGTCACGGTCTGCCCGTCGACCCCGCTATCTCCCGCGGACGGCCTCACCTCGTCCACCGTAGCCCCGGCCTCATATGCGTACTCGACTGCAGATCCGGAGAAGTCCGCGCCTCCGTTGAGGCTCACCTGCAACCAGACGACGTCCTTGACTGGGCGCGGGGGTGCAACACAGGTGGCCATCGTAGAAGTCTCTTGCCGGCCTGCGACCGCATCTCCGGTCCCGAACCTGCACGTTAGATTGCTGCCTTCTTCCAGCCCCCGCCCATACAGGCTCAGCATGGTACCCCCTTCCAGAGCGCCACTGCTTGGCTCCACGCGAGTCACCACAGGCTCATTGTAGTAAACATACCTCACTTCTCCCTCAAGGCCCCTACTCGACCCTTGGGCTCCCTCTACTGCCCGTATCAGCACTGTCCCGCTCTTCTGTACAGCCGGCATGGTGCAAAGGATCCTGGAGCTGCTGAGCGCTTGGGCCTGCACCACCTGACCTTCCCCAATACGACAGAAGATAGCTGACGCAAAGCCTGCACCTCCTCGCACGCTCATGACGACGGCGGTACCTCCTGTCACCGGCCCGCTGCTCGGCTCGACTGCATGGACATGTCCCCTACTTACGACCGTGTATTGACCGTTGCTATTGCCATGTATGCCCTGCTCATCGCCCAAGTACACAGCGACGGTACCGGGAAGGAGCTTCGGCACGGCACACTTGACCAGAGTAGAGCTGGAATAGAGGGCTGGAGTGCTCACTCGGAAGCCGAACCAGCAGTCAAGACGATGCTGGCGCGGATAGAACATCGCACCAAAGATTGTAATCACCATGTCTCCATCTGTACCTCCTGTGGACGGCCACACACTCTTTACATCGATCTTGCTGCTTGTCGATACTAGGGTGTTACTTGAGGTGAAGTCTACACCATCGTTCAAACTGATCGATACCCAAGTCCTGCCTACGCTTTGCGGAAGAGGAGGAGACACACAAAGAATCTTGGTGGAAGTCTGGCTCGTGCCTGGGAGTACCTTGCTGTCTCCAGACTCAAAAGTCAATCGACACATGGAGTGATTGGCCATGAGATGTCTGCCAAGTACACTGACGAAGGCCGTACCTCCGCCAGATTGCCCAACCCAGAACGCACTGTCAACGACAGGATCATCATAATAGAAGAAAGTCACGGCTTGATCAAAGTCCACCACGCCAGAGAGAGAGGATAGACTCGATGGGACGAGCTGTATTTTGACAGAACCTGTTTCTCCATGTGCAGGGGATACACATGCAATGCTGTGGTTGTAAACTGCGACGTTGACCGTCTGGTAATCAAATAAACAAGTTGAGATCTTCAGTGAGTCCTGAATACCAACCAGTCGTACGACTGAGCCTCCCAGAGATGGACCGCTGGTCGGCCAGATTGTAAATCTAGAGTTCATTCCTTTGTTGTAATACAGATACAACAAGTAGGCAGAAGCTAAAGCATCGATAGGAGCATTATTATGACCATCCTTGGTCACAGTCACTCTTACCATACCAGGCTTTTGCTCTGGAATAGAGCACAGCACTCTCACAGAAGACACATACAAAGCGCGTACGACATGGCCTGCTCCAAACCAACAGAGAAGATCTCCGGCGTCGGTGAAATGCCTTCCGTGGACAGTCACAACTTGGTTGCTCATCTTGCTGTAGGCTGTTGAAGGCTGAAGAGAGAGCACGGTCGGGTCAGCCTCGTATGTGAAGACCACCTCGTCTGATGAGAACGTCTGCCCACCGTCCAAGCTTACTCTGACCAAGGTCTGACCTATTGCCTCGGAAATAGGAGCAATGCATTCGATGAGAGTGGAGGAGACAATCCTCGTTCCATCCTCGGGAGAAGACAGATTCCCAAGTTTACACCTTGCTCGGTCTCCCAAGAAGCCTATTCCTATGATTCGTATTGATGATCGGCCATGTTGGGACCCTCGTCTTGGATAGATATCGACGACATGTACTGCCGGCAGGTACAGAAAGGGCCTCGTGCCCACAAGGGTACCACTTGCTCGGCATGTCGTAAGTACACTCACGGTAACCACACCATACCTGAAGCTTGCCGGCACTGTGCAAAGGACGGCTGAAGTGCTTAGCAAAGTGACTTTCGTACCGTTGTGCCCAAAGAAACAGCAGATTTCTTCTGTTGTATCATACATGCCGGAGTGGATCCCAGTAATTGTTACAAGGGTCCCTCCACTCAATGGGCCAGAGGTAGGTTGAATCATGAAGGATTGAGCTCCTAGCACAGACACAAAACATCCTGGCCCCGACACAAACCCATGCCAACCTGTCCTGACCGCAACAGCCACTGTCCCACTGACATTTCTCGGTGTTTGGCAGACAATGAGTGTCGATGAGATGTAATCCCCCTGTATGATACTATTACTGCCATAGAGACACGCTACATAATTTGGTACGTTCTTGAAAAGCTTCCCAATCACAGATATCGTGCTTTGATGTGAGACCCCTGGCCTGATGACTTTTGGAAATATCCCGTGTACAGAAGGGGGGTCCTCGTAAAGAAAAGCTGGTCCGTTTGTCGAGTACTCTCTCCCTCCATCATTGCTGACTTTCACTTCTACAGGTCCCGGCACAGATTGTTCGGGTACCAAGCACTGTATTAGACTGGACGTTACCCACTTCACTGCGGACCTTGTACAATTCGCGTTACCAAATCGACATCGCAGCCCCACTCCCGCGTCGAAGCCTGACCCAATGACAGTTACCCTTGACCCTGAACGTGGCTTGAGGCTCCCGACACTCGGCATGATGCCCACGATTTCCGCAGGATTGATATATTCAAATAGAACATGAGTACTCCTCCCAGCTACTCGTCCCCACTGCAAGTAGACGTCTACAACACCAGCCTCTTGCCGTCCTTGTAATATGCATACCACATGCGACGAATGCTGAGCGATCGCAACTGAAGACACCTGGTCTACCCAGCACAACGCGGGGCCATCTTGTGTAGGAAAACCACTTCCATGGACAGTGATCTGCCCTCCTCCTGACAGTGATCCCTGGCTAGGAGTTACATCAAAGATCTGTATCGCATTCCTATACTGGACCACTGCAGCACCTACTCCGCGATCTACTCCATTGTTACTGATTCCGACAGCATATGTGCCAGTATCAAGCATCGGCACAGAGCATTGCACCAGGGTTGAAGTCTGATATAAACCAAGTACTGATTTGGATCCACCAAATTTGCACGTCAGTGAATTGCTGTCCTGAAAGTGCTCTCCAGTCAGAACCACAACACTCTGATATACCATCGAGCCCATGTTCGCAAAGTGTACCGTTGCATCAGGTGCATATGTGAAGCTCAGCTTCATGGCAGACATTTCTATACTGCCGTCAAGGCTCACTTGTACAACAACACGTCCAACAAAGCTTGATGCAGGTGTAAAACACTCAAGAGCCGATGATGATATCAGCTGGGAACGGGCTGCCTCAACTCCGCCGAACAGGCATCTATGTGATGGCTCTAGGTTGGATCCAACAACGAGCACAGAAGTACCTCCGTTCTTCGATCCCACGGTCGGAGTAACTCTATCAGTCAACGCCGGAACCCTGTATGCGAAACTCGTATCCAGGTACACATCTCCTCCTTCCGCTCGGTGCAGCATGACCTTCACCCCTACCACTTTGTCGTTGCCAAGGTACTGTGGGCTGACACAGACAAGACTGTTACGAGCAACGATGCGTCCTGGCACATACGCACTGCCAAACCAACAGCCTCCTTCCGTATAGGTGTCTTGAAGCGTGTTGCTCCGAACCGTCACTTCTGTGCCCCCCAAGGATGACCCAGTGCTCGGGCTCAAGTCAGCTGAATGATAATGCTCGTAAACAAACCAAACCCCTTCCTCACTCTTCAACCCATCCTGAGCTACTGTCAACAAAACAGTGCTCGGCTTGCTCCTTGGCACGGAGCATACCAAGCTGGATGACGTGAGATATACAGCACGCGTTTCTGCACTTGTTCCAAAGTGACAGACATGTCGACAGCCTTGCTTGAAAGAGTCTCCGGAAATGGTGACAACCTGGTTGGGCGTATCGCTCATCGCTCTCGAAGGGCTCACACCTGTCAAGACAGCTCCGTCCTCGTATAGTATCTCTGCACCGCTATCAGTGAAGTCATACCCTCCATTCAAGCTGATCTCCAGCGATCTTGTTGTAGTTTGGTTAGAGGGTATGGTGAAGCATAGTACTAGACTAGAAGATTGCCATCGGCCAGCTGCTATGGAGAAGCCGCTGCCAAATCCACACGAAATCCCTCCTTGCCGAAAGCCAGTGCCGTAGACGCTCACAATCTGGCCACCATGGCTTTTAACGATGGAGGGATAAATGGAATAAATGTTTGGGTCTTCATAGAAAAGAAAACCTGTTTTGGCTCTCAAACGCATCCTAGAGTTAGACAACGCAGCAACAAGGGTTTTACGTTGTGGTGTAAGCACATCTGGAGTTGAGCCACAGACAGGCATATTTTTGATAATTGCAATCGAAGTGGAATGATTTCCAAAACTGCATATGCCCTTACTGAAATCAATCGAGACTTTTGGTTCAGGCAGCACCAAGTGAATGAGAGTTCCACCTTTCATTGGTCCAAGAGTGGGGAAAATGTCAATCAAGAGCTCGGGAATATTTACGCTGATCCATAGATGACTTGTTGTCACAAACTGACATGCTGGACCGATCTGGACCCTGACCATAGTACCCTCACTCATACTCGGAAAATAACAAGTCATCACTGAATCAGTCAATACTTTACTTATCGTTGCAAATGATGCACCAAACTTGCAACAATATTCAAGTTTTGTATTGAAATTTTTCCCTTGAATTGTCACAACATGTCCCTGCCCATCAGAGAACGACGGAATTACCCCTGTGATTTGGATCTCTGAAACATACTCAAAATCAGTGATTTCTTTGCTATCTGGACAAAACTTGTTACAGATCTGGAGACTGGTTATTCCCAATGTTCCGTTGCTGCTTGGAACAACAATTTTGATGACAGTGGAAGTAAGGAAAGTAAGACTCTTGGAGTTAAGAAGTGTGTTCCCAAGAGCAATTTCCATACTTTCTTTTGTAAAGTATCTTCCATTGACCTGTACAATCGTCCTTCCAAATGTTGTACTCCAGGATGGATATATTCCAAAAATCTGAGGTGCTCTGATGTATTCAAACTTGAAATGCCCATCTAGGTATAAGGAATTTTTAGAAAGTCTGACATCGACGGAGAATGATTGATGCGAAGATGGGGCTATACATTCAATTGTAGATCCATTCACTAGAGTAGCTTCCGAAACCAACCTTCCAAAGTGGCATTGAATTCCGTTAAAATCTTCAAAAGCGCTGTTCAACTGCACTGATATCTTTGTTCCGCCAGCGAAGCAGCTGCTTGTAGGATGAATGTTGAAAACTTTTAATCTCTGTCTAAAACAGACTTGTTTACCTTTCATGCTTACGTCATATAAGACGTTTTGCATCCGAAGGGATACACATCCGTTCACAAAAGGTTGGGTAGTACATGTGACCAAGGTGGAGGTAAGGAAGTGCGCTGCGACTTTGTGACCAAATCCAAAAACGCAGAGAAGTTCTCTAGAGTTGTGGAAAAAGTTTCCATAGACAGTCAACGTACTAGATTCAAAGGATTGGACAATTGATGGAGAAACTCGTTCAATGATTGCTGCTTGTTGGTATGAAAAAGCGAAGCTATGTAATTCGACCATGTCCGTGGAGTAAACAGAAATCTTAGTTTGCTCGAAATTTCGTGAAGATGGGATGACACCAAGAATCTTCGATGAAGTCACTACTTTGAGAGAGGAAGTATTCAATCTCCTTGAATTTACAAATATATTCATTCCCTTGATGTCAAGATGACTTCCTACAATTGTTACCAAACACGATTGTTCCCACATACCAAAACTTGGATGCAAGCTGAATATTTGAATCTCTGGAAGGAATTCATATTGGTATTGTAAGCAATTATTTCGTTGGCTGCAGACATGTAGGGTGGTTACACCTGGATAGAGGCTGTACGGACTTATGCATTGGAACTTCATGTTGACCTCTGATATCGAAATAAGCTGGTTGTTCAAAACACAAAATTTCAAGAAATTTGAGATCCAGGAATACCTCGGGAATATCGTTATGACCGTTCCTCCGTTAATTGGACCACTCGAAGGATTGATAGTAAACGATGCACGACTCAGAGTACCAATCACCAACTTCCTGTCTGTAAATTTGACGCTATCAAAGATTAAGGATATCTGAACATTTTCTGGAGAAGAAGTTGGAAGATAGCAAATCACGGTGGATGATGAGTAATGAATTCCACGAGTTGAATCATTTTGTCCATACAAACATTCGATGTTATGCGTGGATGGAAAATGCATTCCAAATATTGTTACCAATTGTGTGCTGTCGCCGAACGCATATTTCGGGCGTATTTTCAACACATGTGGCAAAGGCAAAATTTTAAAAACATTGGCTTGTGCCAAGAAATTAAAGCCACCATCGAAACTGATCGTGATAGGACAAATATCAGGCGAAGACAGCCGAGGAGCAATACAGATGATAAGAGAAGAGGAATGAAATTGCAGATCTTTTTCAACAATTTCAAAATCACAAAACTTACAAATTGTAGAAGGAGAATCGATGAAGTTTTCCCCAATCAATTGTACCGCAGACCGTTGATTGACAAAATTGAAGTCTGGGAGGACTTTTGCAATAGAAGGATTCAAAATATAATCATAATCCATTATTGCATAAGAAGTAGTAATCGAATGCACAATCTCTATTTGTACCCTTCCTGGCCCCTGAACTGCTGGAGAAACAAAAGAGAAATTTTTATCCATTTGGACAATTTGGTTGCCAATTCTTATTCTGAGCTTTGAGTAAGAAGGATAGATGCCAAATCCAAGAACGTAAATGACCGTTCCTCCACCGATCGGACCGAAGGAAGGAGAAATTGAAATTCGATCGACTTGCCTGAGAATTGTGAGGCGAGATTCGCCGATCAGTACGTGGCTGTGCGCTACTGCCAGCCCCACGGAGACAACTCCATTTATGTCACGAGGAATTCCACAACGGATAGCATGATAGCTGACAAATAAACCTTTTGTCCGAATTCGGCCTCGAAAAACACAGGAATACGAAATTTCACGAACAAAACCAGCTCCTTGCAAAGTTATTGAGGTTGAATACGAGTCACTGACTGCTTCAACCATTTGAGGAACTACTGAGTGAATCACAGGAGAAGGCAATAAAGAGTATGTCATGAATTGTGTAGAAAAATCTGATCCGCCATTCAAACTGATCCTCACTGGGTATGATTCGAGAAATTTCCCTGAAAATCCCGGTAATGAGCAATCCAACATTGTAGACGATATCATTTTGATGTAGGAATTGTTGAACATAATATCTCCCACTTTAAGTGCTATATCAGAACCATGAAAGCCAGATCCATACACTTGTATGAGGTTTGGTGAGTTTGGCAATCCAGATGATGGGATTATTGCTTTTAAAATGGGTTCTGCGTAGTATGTAAATGCATTTTGCAGAAACAAATCATGCTTTTCGGAAAATAGGGTCAGATTCATAATCCCTGCACGCAGCGAAGGAGGAGCTAGACATTCTGCAACCGTTCTATTCACGCATTTGCATCGAATCTGGTTGGACATAAATTGAACTTGCAAATTTGTAAGACATTCTCCCACTCCCAAATACAGGTAAATGCGAGTTCCACCATTCACGGGACCATGGCTTGGATAGAGCCTTTCAAGCTTCAACATTTTCAAGGTAGATTCGTATCTGAGTGAATTAGAGCTCAAGATGAATCCTTTGTATGACAAAGCTACAGAAAAATTCCCAACAGGCAACCCTGCCGCGCTGCACTTGATTAGAGAAGAACTAAGCACTTCTGCTTTGGTAAAAATGTTCTTTCCAAGAATGCAATCCATCTCAGTATTCTTAGTGAAGTTTTGTCCAACAATAATCATCTGCCTAGAACCGTCCAAGCTTATAAGGTCTGAGACGGAAAACAATTGACACAAATCAATAGAAACAAACATGTTGTTGTTTGATGTGAAGTCACGTCCATTGAGACTGATTTCAATCGCAAAAGAATTTGTATTTGCCTTTTCCATAAAGCAAATAATACTGGAGGAAGACTGAAAAAGATGTTTTTGAGAAGAGAGACTCTTCCCAAAGGAGCATGAAAACTTTGGCCGAAAATTCTTGCCGATAACAGTTATCTGCATGTGCCTATTTGAAGGTCCAAATGACGGTAGAAGGTAGTATACGAAAGGGTCTGGGTAGAATTCGAAGGTGATCTTTTCAAAAACTGTCTTATCAGCACTTGAGAACACTTGAAGCGAAACAAATGAAGAGTCCTCGTATTGAGGAGATCTGCAGAAGAACGTGCTAGGGGGAACAACGATCGCTGGAGAATCTCGATCGCCGAAAAAACAGAGAACTCTCTCTTCGTTTGTCAAGTTGGGCATGTCGAACTCGATATAAGTTCCACCTGACACTGGTCCGCAAGATGGCCCTATAGGCGTTATTGATCTCCTCCTGCTCACAGTCATGCTACACCACTGGAACTTGGGATCGAGAGGAATTCCTTCCAAAGACACCAAGACCATGCTAGATAGACGAGGCTGGTCACTTTGACACAAAACTAATGAAGAGGTCAAAAGTCGAGCTTGAGTTTTACTATGTCCGCCCAGGACACAGTTGAGGTTGTCATTATCTCTGAAGTTCCTTCCAACAACCGTGAATGTTGAAGCAAATGTGCCGATAGGATTCGAGCTAGACTTCACCCGAAATATACTAGCATCTTGCGAGTACTGAAATGGTGAATTGGCCTTGAAATAATTGCTATCTTTTTCCATTAGCAAATAAAGAGTAGAAAATCCGGGAGTTGAAGCAGAAGGAGTTGTACACGCTACTTTTGTCGATGTCTCAAAGAATGTTGCAATGGAAAAGTTGCCTACCTGACATAATAGCTGTGGGACAAAGTGTTGACCATACACTGTGATCACCTGACCACCTCTTACGGACACAATCTTTGGGAGGATTTCATTGATCGCAGGAGTCGTCAAGTATTCATAATAGGATGAATGAAATATAAACCCTCCATCATCCACTATCTTGAGCTCAACTTGTCCTGGTTGAAAGTGAGCAGGACTCTTGCAAATCGCTGTGCTTGTGGATGCAAAATTAAGGGGAAGTATCACCTGGTCAATCATACAAAACAAATGAGTGGAATTTTCAACAGTGAAGAGAAAGCTGACTTCAATATCTGTACCACCTTCAGTGCTTCCCTGACTTGGGTTGATGAACACCTTGCCATATGGATTGGACAAGGAGTATAGAACAAAAGGAGAACTTGTATCAACTCCGTTATTGCTGACTTGAACATTGATAGAATTTTCTTTCATGCTTGAAACTAAACAAACCGCCAAACTTGAAGAAATATACATCGCGTTAATTTTTTCTTGGTTTCGTATAATGCATGAAAGTTCGTCCCTGGCTGCAAAGTTACTTCCAACCATGGTGATTGCGGTGCTGCGTGGAGACACAGCAATGAAGCGAGGGAATACAGAATCTAGCAAAGCTTCAGGTTCATACACAAAAATTGAGATCTGTCCATTTGACGTAGGATGTAGAAGTAGCGAAGGATGACCTACTTGAATCTGAACGATCGCGAATGTCATGGAGGGTGGAGAAATACAAGCAATCGTCAAATCGTCTATCCAAGTTGCATTCACCGTCCCAACATCTCCAAATCGGCATGACATTCCATCTACAAAATTTTCACCGCGTAAATATATCTGTGTCATTCCATTCGTTGAACCTGTCGAGGGTCGAATGTGCGTCACTCTTGGGAGTGGAAGGCATGAAAAAGTTTTGTTGAAGTTGAATCTCTCGCTGAAAACATTGAAATTTTGTTTCCCAATGAAAGGACCTGGAATTGAACATGTCACCAATGATTGAGAGCTGAATTTGCCTTTCTCTACAACTGCAATACGGGGAAATGAACAGTAGACACTCAAGTCTGAAATGTTGTCAAATCGATTTGATAAGCGTATTTGTATTTGTGTGTTTCCAGTGCAATATCCAACAGAAGGATGAATAGAAGCATCTTGCCCGAAGTCCACAAATTGAAAAATTCCCACGATAGTCCAAGCAACTCTGTCAGGAGAAATTCTGATTGTGATGTTTTGTTCGGAACTGGGAGGTGTAATACACTCTGCAACAGCTTTCTCCACCGTGCTGCATTGGACAATGGGGCCAGCACCAAACAAGCAATAGCACTCGGCAGAATCAAACACGCCTCGAATACTGATTCTCAACCCTCCATAAGTTGTTCCGAATTTGGGGGAAAAGTCGTCTACATAAAATGGTTCGTAAAACTTCAAGAAGAATGCTGCAATACTGACGTTGTTTTGAACCACTATCTCAGCATTGACCAATCCCGGAGTATGGGAGGGTGTACTGCAAATAATACAAGAATTAGAGAGCCTCTCTGCGACAATTTCAATAGAATCAATCACACAACTGAATTGTAAATTCAATATTGGAGCAAAATCTCCATAAATGCTCACAATTTGACCACCCTGGACAGGACTGCTGATTGGATTGACTTTGCTTAATTGAATTGGGCTGATATACCAAAACGCAAATGATTTTTCTTCAGGCCCAGTCCCAGCAGATATGGAAAGGGTTACCGACCCTGTCAATTTGCTTGCAGGAGACACGCACACGACAAAGTTTTCATCATCAAGGAATGAGGCATTTGATGCCAGACTTTGAAAATGACATGTGTAGACTGGGATTGTTGCTCCAAACAGAGTAATCAAACTTCCTCCAGACAGCAAAGAAATTGAAGGCTGGATTTCAAAAATTTCCTCTACATCAGTATATAAGATCGAAAGTTTGTTAGACGATGCATTTTTTCGATCGAACAATTGGAAATCATACAAGCCTTGGGAATGCGCTGGGGTTGTACAGAAGATCAAAGAGGAAGTCAACACTTCAGCTGGAGATGACAATTTTCCAAAGAGACACATTCGGGAATTCTGAGAGTGAAATCTAAACCCCGTAACAGTAATGTTCCTTTGACCAGACAACGGCGATACGGATGGCATTAAAGATACAATTTGAGGTGCATCTATATGGAGAATTTCGGCTCCCAAACAATTCCCTTTCGAGGTTACCGATAAGACGGCATCCCCGACAGTGTTCCCTGGTACTTGGCATAACACAAGGTTGCTGGAAACAAATTCAGATTGAACATCCAGAGAATTGAATTGACAGAAAACTCTATCTTTTTCAAAATGTTGCCCCACTAGTGAAATAATTTGTGATGCTCCGTTGAGTCTGATCGAAATTTGAGCAGGATTGCACATGAATTCAAAACTACTTTGACCATGAATAGTCGAGGAATTATAGACTAAAAGGCTTACATAGATCGATTGTGGAACATGTACGATTGGGCTGATACAAAGTAATTTGCTAGAAGAGAGAAAATTTGCTTCCATGACATCCTTGTTTCCAAATCTACAACTGAAGATGTCAGGAACAAAATTTATTCCAATCATTGACACCATGACACTTTGAGACGTAAAAGAAAATGTCGGGCTGACACTTGTCAGATATGGTGGTTTCAAAATCATGAAGAGAAACCCACTTTGGCTGAAATGTATACCATCATTCGTGTATTCAACAGCGTATTCGCCAGACGCCAATGGAGGTATAGAACATATAGCCTGACTGGACGATAAAATCTTGGCAACAAGTGACGTGCAACACCCAAACTTGCAAACAGAAGTTCGTGATTCTTGGAATTCGTTTCCAGTCAAGGTGACATGCAGAGCAGTAGAAGGAATTCCTAACGTTGGAATAACATTCACAATTTGAGGTTCGACAAATGCAACAAAAAGGAAACTGTTGGAAATGATGTTGCTTGTGTTTATGAAGACCTGAATACTCCCTGGAGAGCTCGGAACAGATAAGCAATTGAGAAAGCTGGAAGTTAAGAAAGTGATTGGATTGCAAGACCTTTCAAAGCAGCAAACAGAAAAGGAATCGAAATAGATTCCAGAGATCGAAATGGAGATTCCTCCTTGGACCGGTCCTAAAGTCGGCTTAAGACTGATGATTTGTGGACTCCGTATTGCTTGAACAGTGTACTGATAGCTAGCGATGTCTTTGCAGTTATGAGACAGAGATACTGAAATCTTTCCTGGCCAAGTGGTCGGAGCTGCACACACGACCATAGACGAAGACAAGATATTTGCGGTTTGACGAAAAACCTCAAACATGCAACAAGAAATGTTACGGTCGTAATTCGAACCAAAGACAGTGATTGAACTTCCACCCTCGGATGCAATGATCGTGGGATAGATTGATTGTATTTCCAGTAGTCCAAAAACGTGGAACAGAAGGCTACTGCTTGCTAAGTCTGCAAAATTGCTCGAAAGTGCAAGATTGATCATCCCAGGAGGATATTGTGGAACCTTACAGACACAAAGTGAATATGATATTACCATAGCCCTTGAATACAATGTTTTGGCACCTTGAACAAATTTGCAAGACAAAAACAGAGAGGAGCTGAAGGCCTGCCCGACAAGAGTAATCGTTGATTCCATCCCCTCGATGCCAACAGATGGTATCACTTTCATCAAATTCAGTGTTTGAAAATATAAGAAGGACATTTCATTCGTCAAGTAATCGTATCCATTGAATGAAACTTGAATCTGGACAATTCCAGGCCTTTTAGAAGGTATTGATTGGCATTTCAGCAATGAGTTCGATATCCATGTAGCTTCAATTTCTGCGCCATTGAATTTACACTTCAAATGATACGAGAAATAGAAATCTGACCCTGAAATTGATACAATTGTTGAACCTGTCGTTGGACCTGTACTAGGCGCTGCTTCCAATATGATTGGAGATCTATAGTAGTGAAATTCTGTTGAGCCTTCGACGCTTTTCATAAAATCAAACCCTACTGAAAGTTCAATCTGCCCTGGTGCCATTGGAGGAGAAATACATTTCCACAACGAACTGGACTGCATCACAGCTTTTACGAATGTGTTGTTGAAGTAGCAACCTCCTCCTTCGTATGCCGGAAATCCCATCCCGTACAGAAGGACTTCACTAGAACCTGCATCTGGTCCCTCTGAAGGAAGCACGGATATGATGAGTGGCTCGGAGATGTAATAAAAGGATTCCAACACCAAAATATGATTGGATTCAAACGGTAATTGTACATAGACTTGCACTCCAGCCATGCATTCTGTGTGATAGCAATCAGGAGCAATACAAACAATTTCATCAGAATTCATGTATCGAACGACAGGAGAAATAGCGTTGCCAAATTTGCATGAAGTCGGTGGGAAAACTAAGCCAGATATCCCACTGATGGTCACCGGAATGCCACTAATGAAATGTCAGAAACCTAAATGTCAAAAAGGAGCATACCTCTGAAACGCAAACGTGGGCTGTATATACAAGGTGCCATTCGTCACTTCTCGCACTGCAAGACTTACTCCTGTAGGAAGGAACGTGTGACCATCCAAGGAATATTCCAGCTGTATTCTCGTTGCCATAAGTTGACTATAAGGAACTGGACAAACAATGGATACAAACCCTGACAGATTACAAATTGACCCCACATATGAAATGCAGAAGGTGCCAGAGAACGTTCCATTCACAATGTACGAATCAAATTTGCACTGTACAAAATCCAACGGAGGAATGAAAGGAGAAGAAACTATTTTCAAATCCTTGATCGAACGGTCAAGTGCAAGAGGATAGATTTCTTCTATGTCAATCAAAGCATAAACCTTGAAATCCACCAAATTGTTCGAGAAATCCACCAAATTGTTCGAAACCTCAACAATCCAGATCCCCTCTGAGAGAGATGGAGAAAAACAAATGATACATGATTCATTTACGAAGTTGGCTTTTGCTATGATATTTCCAAATTTACAAGCTAAGGAATCCGAATTCACGAAGTTCCGTCCATATACAGATATGTTTGTCCCACCCAAGATAGGTCCCAGAGAAGGAACAATGAAACCAATACTTTCTGGAAGTCTGTAAGCGAAAAAAACGCTCGTTACAGAAAAGTCCAAAGCATTGTTTGTGACATCTATGGTTACAAGTCCAACATTATCCGAAGTTGGAGAAGTACAAATGATCTCTGATGGACCAAGCCATCTGGTTGGGACTGCTATGTAATTGTTCTCCGCGAGCAAAAATCGGCAGAAGGAATCCTGGTCATTCTCAAATCCATCCCCTTTCAAAGTGATTTGAGTTCCTCCCAATTGCGGACCAGCAGAAGGTTGAAGACTGTTCACAGATGGGAAAGCTGAGACATTGGTGTCATGATCGCAAACGAACATGTTTAATCATCTTACCTTGATAGAAAAAGAATACTCCGCTGTTTGTAAACGAGTCCAAGGATGCTGAACTATCAATTGAAACCTCTAATGAAACGGCTCCAAGATCTGCCGAAGGAGGACTGACACAAGATATCTTGCTATCACTAAAGAATAATGCTGTTTCAGTACTTGTTCCACTTCCGAACCTACAGCTCGTTTTTCCCCTGTGGAAGTCAGACCCAGATATTGTCACTTCAGTACCTCCCGTTTGTGGCCCCTTTGAAGGATTGATATTGAAAACATTTACACAACTTAGTTCTGCAATAAAGTGTTACTGATAAAACACAGAAGGGGACCTTACCTCGAAATCCACACGCTATGAGTAAAATCAGAATCCTGCAGATTATTTCAAGCTTTGGCATCATATCCTGCACTATAGGAGGAAATTTAAGCTTGTCATGTTGTCCCCAACCTGACTCACAAGAACAATGTCATTCGGACCTACATATCTAAATGCTGCTCACCTTACCGTTCCGTTACTTCCTGCATCTCGTCCAGCGCCCATTCCCAGCGCTTTTCGTGACTGCGCGGGGAGGATGAGCCAAAAAAACCGATAGGGCCGGTCTCGTATTCATTGAGTAAAACTTCGGCCCTAAAGTAACCGCCGGTTCTATGATTTACGGGTCCGCCTCAGATTTTACATTATCGTTTTAGTTAGGACCACGCCGTGCTGAGGCTGAGTAGGCCGCCGCGCCGCCGGCCGGTTGGGCCCGACTCCCGGAGTCCCGGGAGGCTGGGTCCGGACCCGGCCGCGGCGGCGTGAGCGGCGAACTCGGAACTTGTCGGACCGTAGAACGTACTACGGCACGCCGTTGAGGACTCGGGCGGCCCGTGTCAGTGAATGCCAGGGCCAATCATCGGTGGCCGCTGCTCACGGCCCTCCGTCCCTAGGGAAGTCCATAGCAGTGGCCATATCCGATCAGGCCGCACTCGGACGCGTACTCCTGACTCCGAGTCTGCCCGGCATCAGTCACCGTGGTCCGACGGTCCTCGGATGCCCCGGCCGCACAGGGCAAGTTCGGGGCGCGGCTGGGCCGGCCGGGCCCGGGCCCGCCGGGCCCGGGGGGACTGACTCAGGCCGCAAGTTGGGCGGCACTGCGGCACCGGTGTCTCTTCGCAAATGTTGTTTTCGACTTGTCAACAGTTCAAAGTTTTTTAATCCTTTCACCGTACACCTGCGTATGTCTTCATGGAAATTCATTTGTATATAGGGTGGGGGTGCCAAAAATAACCAAAGGACCACGATCGTTCTCTCAAGGCGGAGGCGCCATGGCATCCAGCGCCGAAGCTTACTACGAGGTAAGACTATGAGAGAGGAGCAGATAATGAAAGGTTAGTTTAACGGAGATACTTGAAGAGGTGAATTCAATGAAAGATAAACGGAGGTCCTCAAAGTAAACCTCGAAAATAGTTGCGGAAGTACGGAACAAGAAGATGTATTTTTTGGTGTTTCGAACCTTGTGGAAGCATTGGATTTTATATAGGGTGGGAATCAATATGGTTGAAAGTGTATTGTATGAGATCTTAAATCAAGAATGTACTAATCTCAATGACTTGATTTCAACAGCCTGTCAAAGGAGATGACGACGAAGATGATGAATATAAACTACCCGAAGATGCTACATTTACAGATTATCTTGTTTATCCTCTAAGGTATGAATATGTCAGGCTAACAAATTCTGGTAACAGATGAGCAGGTCTGGGGAAAACTTTTTTTCAAGATTCACCAAAAATTTTGGATGGAGATTTGCAATCCAGATGACTGTGATGTACTTGCTGGTCAAGGGATTGATGTTGTCTGTGCTGGGACTTGTCAAGTTATCATATTGCAAAAAAACTCTAAAAATCGATGGTAGTGCATGCCAGACAATGATGGTGATTTCATCAACGCCATGGGCGATCAAGGGTTCCATTGGGGTTTTGGCTGATGCTTACCCGCTCTTCGGGTATCACAAGGCGAGTTATATTCTGGTGGCAGCAGTAATCGGTTCGATCGGCCTCTTTGCATTGGCGACTTTCCCTGTAACATCAGCAGCACTTTCTGCTATCTTGCTTTTTTCAGTCAATTTGGAGATAGCGACCTCAGACCTTCTTTGCGAAGGAAAGTATGCCGAACTGATGCAAACAAAACCCAAAACAGGCTCGACCATGGTCAGCTATGTGTGGGGCTGCTTCCAGATCGGTAGTTTGGTGGCAGCTATGTTCGTGGGTCCTGTGGCTGACCACTACGACCCTAAGGTTAAACTTTGTGAGAGATACGATTTTTGGGACTGACAAGCAACTTATTGTGTACAAGGTTCTCTTCTGGGTTTTGTTGCCCCTTGCGGTTAGCATCATCATCCCGACCTCATTGGGATATTTGGCTGACGAGGTTCCTTGTTTCCTCTCACTTTTCTTTCCCTGACTTTGATTGATCAGAGAGTGGCACCTGAGAAGGAAGGGATTGACATGGAGCTTATCAAGACTTATCCCTACATTGTTGCTTTTTGCATCATCATGGCAGCCGTTGCGCTCGGAAATGCTGCCATCGATATTTTCTTTTTTGAAGAGCACTTTTGGCAAATGGTCTATGCGATCTCCTGCTCTGTCTTTCTTAGTGTACTCGCTTTTCTTTGGCTACCCAGGCAACTGGCCAAGTGCAACTTTTACATGTTCATGGCTTCTGTTTTGTATCTGAACATTAGCGGAGCTCAAGATTTTTGGTTTACAGCCGACGAGCAATGTGTTCCAGGTGGACCTGCTTTCGACTACACCTATTACAACACGTACACGTCAATCGTGGGAGCCTTCACTGGATGGGTTGGAGTTGTGATCTTTCAAAATTTTATGAGCGGATGGACTTTCCGTACACTCTTCTGGGTTACAACAGTATTGCAATGTGTTGCATCAGCATCGGACTTGATTATAATCAATCGCCTCAATATTGCTTGGGGAATTCCCGACAAATGGTTCTACATGTTTGGGGATGCAGTGATTGGTCCTGCAGTGATGATGTTTGCACTCATGCCAGCTGTGGTTTTGACTTCAAAGCTTGTCCCGAAGGGACTTGAATCAACGACCTATGCATTGTTGGCTGGTTTTCAAAATTTTGGGGGGGTTGTATCCAATCAAATTGGGCTTTATGCGACACAGGTTCCTCTTTTCTTCTTTTTTGGTGTGATAATGATTTTAGTACGCAGTTCGCAGGTGTCAAGACGGAGGCTCCATGCAACTTTGACAATCTTGGCTGGCTAGTGGGAATTTCACATTGTTTGCTCCCGCTTTTAGCTATCCCCCTCACTTTCATCCTCATTCCAAATAAGCTCATGACGGAGATGATCATAGAAGACGAAGCGAGTGAGCCTACGTTGCTGCAGGGAGCACTGGGGAAAGATGAAGGTCGATACATCATTAGAAAACTCACATTTTGTGAATGACGTGATTAATCAGGAACTTCCAAGGAGCATGATTCTTGAATCGAGTTTCTCGAATATCAGATTTCGAATTGTAGATTTTGACATTGAGAGAGCTGCTTGATGACTTTTCTGGGACTAGAAGAGAGTTGTTGAGTAGATAGGTGCTGATCTTTTCAGATATGGAATCATATGAATGTGATATTTCAATACAACTCTAGTGAATCTCATCAAGGACGCAGTCTACGTACCAGCTGTGTAAAAATAGTATCTTCCCAAAGACATCAGCATCTCGAGGAGAACTCCTGCTTAGTGGTCAAGGAAATTCGCTTCCAACAATCAAAACCTATCAGAGCACCCAAAATTGGTATTCTTGAGGTCAGCCTTTGCAGGAGCTTGATCTGCAAATTGTCAATGAATTTTACAATCCAAGTAAGAGCAAAGGTCAGGACCAGAGGCACGAGGAGAGTCTGGAACACTGGAGGCCTGAAGAGGTAAAGCAGAAGTAGACCACGGCGCCTCTGGATTTCCTTTTGAAGTATGAGCTCGATTGCTGCAGCCCTCATCTGCAGCCGGTGCAAGTCCTTCATTTCCCTTCTTGTTCCCTCTACTCTTGGTTCATCGTCCACAACAGCTTGAAGGTCCAATTCAGATGCCTCAGACGATTGTGGCTCACGTGAAGTATCCATTTCCTTCGTTCCGTAGGACTTGGGTTTGTTGGAGTCATCAGCGACGGTACAACCTTGAAAGCTCTGATGTGACATATTCTTGATGGTTTGCTTTGAAAGGAAGTTTGGGTGAGTAGACAGAGCTTCTGAAAGAGCATCGATAAAGAAGGAGGTTATCCATGGAATCCATGACTTGTTGCCAAACTTCTGCATAAGGGCCAGGTACACAACTGGGCGAAGAGCATGAATGCTCGATCCAGCAAGCCACCATCTAAATCGCTGTATATCCACATGTGACCATGAGAGCTGGAAACGATGTGCCCTTGTTAGCCCAAGACTATCGGAGCGGTAGTTTATCTCTCGGCCTTTCCTGCAGTTTTGTATCTTACAACAGGCCTTTGCTAATTCGATGATAAGTAGGAGCATAAATTTCCGATTAGCCAGGGCTCGATCGCAGAGCATCTCAGAGATCAACTCGAAACGCCGAATAAATTCTAGGAGAACTTCGCTCTTGGAGTTTGAGATAAATCCTGATCGACGTTGCATCTTACACCTGAGACAGTCATAAAGACATTCACAAGCCATACTATGAAGGTTCATCTACCGTGTTAGAGCATTTCCTCTACTGCTCTCTATGACGTCTGAGTAAAGAGATATGACAGATACGCATGTGTGCAACCCCTCCGACGAGACCTCGCCACCACTGTTGTCCGGCATTAGCAGCGTTCCCTAGATCTGTATCAGTATGAAGTAAAGACTTAACATGAGCAGACCAGTCGGAGATAGTCTACGAGTTGAGGTGCAAGCGACGAGGAAGCTCTCATTACTTCCCGCCATGTAGGTTCCCGTCCCCAAACCTCCTCTGCCATCATTGCGCCAACCCAACACAGGTTTAGTTCAGGGTTTAGTTTGCCGACTCTGAGGTCAGTCCGATTGCTACCGGCGTGTGCCATCACAACCCGCGTTCAACGTTTAGTAACGGTATGCCGCAAGTAGGACCCTAGTGTTCGGCCTCCGAGCACTGCTGTTGTTTACTTCGGCCAACAACCCCCCACCCCCACTCCGGGCCCGTTTTTCTAATAACTCACCAGTGAAGTTGACAATCGACTACCCTCTCCAGCAGGCCGCGGATGGTCAGCCACTCTTCGTGTGCTGGCCGCTATGGGACCTCAGAGGCGATCTGAGGCTCTTCATCGAGTCCCGTGTGTGGCCCTGAAAACAGCTCTCCCAGTGACGGGGTGGGTAGGGTGCCGCGATTTTGCACTACCCCAGCCTCCTGATTCCATCATAGTGAATGGATGATCTTGAATCTTAAAGTTTTGGGCCAAGTATTGGGAGCCAGATGAAACAATTGAGGAGAGGTGTTGCTCCTGGTGTGGTTACCTTTTCTGCCGTCATGAAGTTGGGCGGAGCATCTTGTGCTCTGAGATGATCAGCAGATGCTTCATCTGCCACCTCCCCTCTGATCGTTTGTACATGCCTCTCATGATATCATAAACTTCCTCTTCTCACCATCTTCTGCCATGCCCATAGTAGAGCCTGGTGCTTTTGTCCTCAGATATTTTGACTATCGGGCCTGAACATGCTGCTTCCCGATCCTGTAAAGCACGACTTTGCCTGTTCGATATATACCATCCAAAAAATGCTTGCACCAGAATTTCTTCTAGTGAAAGTATTTGATATGACCTGACGGGAATCTACAGCTCGTGACCTACACCCTGATATGTTGCTGATCTCGGGATTTTGATACCATGACAACCTCGGTCTGCACGCATCACCCTGTCTAGTAACTTTTTCTGATTTTGTTGATTCAAGTGAAGAGATGGAGCAATTTTTCCTAGAATTAAGAAGATCGTCAAGCTCATCCTCCTCGGCGGATGGTTCAAACCCAGCAGTCGGAGCGATTGTAGCATCCGTAGGAAACTTCCTCATCAGGTACTTTCCGATCTGCTATCACCAACAGAAGCTGATTTTCATTCAGTTTGTCATTCCAGTTGCAAAAGATCGCTCATCGACGAAATGAATCTTCAGAGACAATAATTCATTATACGCGTTTGCCGTTGTGGTGGGCAGGGATGGCTCTTATGGGGATTGGAGAAGTAGGAAATTTCTTTGCGTAAGTAATGTCATGTGTTATGCTCTGAATTTTAAGACTTGATGGAGATTTTGGGTCTAGATTTTACAATGACCCATGTCAATAGGTATGGCTTAGCACCAGCATCGTTGATATCGCCTCTGGGGGCCGTTGCTGTAATAAGTAACTGTATCCTGGTTATCACAGAAGCCAAAAGACTTTCAAAATGCTGAAAAGCGCATTGCAGGCAAGAACGATATTGAAAGAGAAGTTGACCTACCGAAACATACTTGGAGTCTTCTTTGCCCTGGGGGGAGCTATGTTAGTGATACTGTTTGCACCAAGAAGCATATCAAGCAAATCCGCAGACGGTACAATTGATCTTTGTTCACTTTGTTACTCAGTAATCATTATTGCTTTTAGAAGGGGATGGTTTCTTGTATGACATGCTAGTCAATTTGCGTTCAGGAATATATCTGCTCTGCGTGCTCTTGCTTGCTGGCTATGTCGCCAACCCCTGCATTTCACGGTATTCGCTGATCGACCAGTTCCCTCGATACTGAATGACATCGAATTCTTCTCAGATTTGCAATCAGCGAAAGACAAAGAGAAAAGAATGTGGTGTTTTTCGTGCTGCTTTGTGGACTCTTTGGTATTGTGACGGTCATGTCGGCAAAAGGGGTATATATATGCAAAGCATAACCAAAGTGGAACCATTTATCCTCAATTCAGGTTTCTCTCAGTGTTAAAAGCCTTCTAGTCGGTGATTTCGTTCCGTTTACTGGAGGTATTCAAATTTTGATACCTGTATATCATTTTTTGTGACCATGTGAATGATCAGCTCATTGTTGGCTTGTTTACCTTTTAATCTTCGGAGCAATCGTCTCCATCATTATGCAAATGAAATATCTCAATAAGTGTGAGGCTATTTTAATTTATCTTGCCTAACCAATGAACAACCAGAGCGATGATGGGATTTGGAGCTCAACAAGTTGTTCCAGTCTACTATGGTAAGCTGCTGAGTTCGTAGATTCGAAGATCCCTGAATATCATTTATCCTGCAGTCACATTTACGCTTTCAACAATATCTGCTGGTATGGTGCTGTACCTTGAAGTTGATTTTGGAGAATGGTGGAAAAGCTTTCTTTTTGGTAAGACGAAAATAAAATCGAGAATGAATGACCTGCTGACAATGCGCAGGTTGTGGAATCATCATAACTTTCATGGGGGTTTGGTTGATTAATCAAAAGTTCGAGGAAGAAGGATTTGGGGTGAGCAGAGCACTGGAAATGTTGCACTCAGTTTACTGATATAATGATCACAGCTTCCAGAAGCTGTGGAAGGTTTAGAAAGATTCGAAAGCAGCAGTTTGAAGCCCAATGAAAACGAGATGAGAAAATTTTCGGGAAAGCCTCACGACGCTCAAGATGTTACTTTGTCAGAAGGGGACTGGTCAGCTACTGAACCCAAGAACGCTATGTGTGTCCTCCTGGAGAAGGAAGTGGCGTCATGTTCAGATTTTGAATCCAATCGTGATGATGGAACTCAATCAGACCCTCTGGGTCCAGACTTTGCTCCCAGCAAGGCAGAAGTACAGATAGACGACCCTGTTTGTCATGTGCTCAAGGAGAGTCCCTTGCGAAACTCGCATATGAACCCGAAGATGCTGGAGGACTACAAGTGTGTCGACCATGATCAGCACCAGAATGTTTCTAATGATTACTTGTTTCAGTGCGGCTAGCCCTCTTGGAAGGAAGAGATTGCGCATTATCGAACATTACGCTCATCAGGCACACGGCCATGTCGACGAAGAATGTAATTTTCCAGTGCGATACTCAGAAGCGCGACTTTTGCGGGTGAGTGTATTGCAGCGTGTGCACAGCTCTGCTGACGAATCGTGTAGGGAGAACAGAGAGACGTCGAGGCCGATTCATTTCAGCTCACAATAGATGATGTTTCCGAGAGTGAAAATGAATAGATTACGATTGATGTAGTACAATTAATGGTAAGATAGAGTGCTTTTTCGTTATGATAAGTGTAGCTTGTGGACGTATCTGATCAAAGGCATTTGTACAATAAATCAGGATTCAAACTTATCTGATATTGAACAGGCACTCGACTACATTTCGTTGGTCGATGGTTTGCTGGCCAATTACACTGCTGATCTTCTTCAAATGCTGCACCCTAGTATTTCACGAGTGGCTCAGAAGCTGTTCGCACAAGTACAAGATCAGAGCGAGAATACTCAAAGCTTGCTCATCACGAACCTCTCACAAGACGTTTGCTTTAACTGTTCGCAAAATTCATATTGACATAACCCTGAGCTGCAGCTTTTGCATCCGCGTAAATGCTGAGGATCCTGAGAGGAAATTACTTGGGGGAACCAAGCGACTGGCAACCAATCTACCACAAGGAGGCTGCAATGACAGCAATCATGAGACCCAAAATGATCTGCGAGATATGAGACAAAACATGAGTGTCATGGCATTCACACACCTCAAAGGATTCAAGAATCATCCTTTTTTTCAAGCCCAAGAAGAATCGAAAATGGAAGTCAGCGTATATGAAAGGCATTTCACGAAGCCACGTACCATAAAGGTAAGATAATCGCAAACAACCCAAAGAAAAGAATAAAACCGGTCCATATGGATACTGTACACAATGTAGATCTGAGCAGAGGCGAGACTTCTTCTTTGTATTCGGCTTCCCGACGAAAAAGGACAATCACAACGAAATTGGAGAGCAGCTGCAAGAAGATACAAATGTAAACACAGAAGATGTACTTGTCAAAAATCGTCAAATAATTGACCGGGGGCATCTGCGCTCAAACTCCTTCACTTCTCTGCTAAGCGACAGAATAAACTTGCACACCTGATTCGAGATTGAGCTGTGGAAGAAAACAATAGATATCAATCCCCCCGATCCCATGGTGATGCGGATCGACCAGTTGACAGTGGGATCCAGCCAGAAGGAGTACAAGGTTGGAGCCAGCATGACGAAAGGAGGAACGAACTTGGTGATAACTCCTTCATAGATCGGGCGCTGCACTGCGATACTGAATGTGAACCTGGAGAAGGTAATGTTGCTTGAGCTGCTCTGCTCGTCGCTGCTCGCTCCTGGATATACCTTTGTGCTGACCTAAACAAAAGATCAGCCTGCTCACGGCAAACTGTACCACCTTCCGATACCCTAGCTCTGCAGTTGGCGTAGAGAGAAGTCGGCGACTGACGTAGAGAAGTCTGCCAACCAGGGAAGCGAATGGAAGGGCTCATTCCATTGAGATCGGCATCAGGCACAAATACCCAGAGGGTGACAGGCGATTTGAACTGCTCGAGAACAATCTCCAGGTACTGCTTGTCAAACGGATACCATCGGAGATCGGGCGAGAAGAAGAACTTCCCGGCGACTCTCCTGACGCCCTTGCCATACTGGGAGATCGAGTCGATGGACATGGCGTTGGTAAACGCCAGCTCGTCGATCGGTTGCATGCCATCAAACTGAGTGAGAGGCTTGTCCTTCTGCCGTAGGAACAGAAGGAAGTCTGCAAAGAACTCTCCTGTGGAGAGACCCCTATCTTCTGCATGCAGATTTAAAATGTACATACCGACTGATACATTGGGCTGACTCATCTTGGAGGGATCAACATGAGGTATGTGAGGGCACCTCCATATCTCGCTGGAACGATCTTTCTCCGAGGCTCCTTCAATCCCAAGACGAACTTTATCTTCTTCGTCCTGCTTCTTGTTCTCCTGCTCTTCTGTCTTCGAATCTTGTGTTGAGTTCGTACCTTCCAGCACAATACGCTTGCTGTCACTCACGCCCTGTCCAAGCTTCTGTGTCTGGGGGTGTTCCAAAAGGACACTCGATCGAGCTGAGGTTTTCCTGTTGCTCAGGTCAAGCCAAGATCGCAAGGTTTTAGCCTTGGCTGGCTGGTGTTGGAGGTCATGTTGCATCAAGGTAATTTTGTCCGTTCCAGGAATCAGAGGAGACACATATGTCTCCGACCTCCCAGTCGGATTGTCTCCAAGCACATCCACCAAGGACAGAGACAGGCTGAACAACAAGAAAGCCTTGGCAGGACCGGACATGATGAACGTGGACTTGTCGCTTCACTTCCTCAACCTCCCTTTCCTTGACCTCCACGCCTGTCACCTTCCTTCATTCCTGTACCTACCAATATAGAATTGGATCCGAGCCCCCCTCACGATTGATAATGAAGGCAGATGTGGGATAATAATAAAGTGGGAACTGGGAGTATTCGCCTGGCCCGGTTTGCCTTCCTCCCGTCCCCGAAGAGGCAGATCAATGGAGGATTGACAAGGGTTGAGGGAAGGAGAATGGAGGAGGGAAGAGGAAGAGGAAGCGAAAGGGAAAGGGACAGGGAGGGATGGGGAAGGATAAGGGAGGAGGGGAAGAAAGGGGAGGAGAGAAGAAGGGGAAGGGATGCGAGGGGAGAAGAGTGGACTGGAGTGGAGAAGAGGGCAATATAGTGGAGGAACTTTGCAACCTTAGTTCATATATGTGGATATTGAGACCCACTTCACAGAGCATGAAGCATTGTAGCCCGCTAGACTGCTTAAATGACCACCTCCTCTCGCTCATGTGTTGTGGAAGACGAAGCAAGTGATGTTGGGCGTTCCTTTCGTGTTCTTCCGTGTCATTAACGATCAGTCTCATTTTCTCTTCCAAGAAGAAATGACTTGTTTTGACATACACCGCTAGGCTATGCTGTTGAAGTCCTATGGGACGCTGTCTCTCGATAGCGAGGCAAGTCTCATTTTTAGTGCAGGAGTTATCTGACCTCTCTTCCACAGAAAGGGCCAGCTCAATCTCGTCGTCATGCCTTGGCTTTCGCTCTTGGTAGCGTTGTGATTGTAGCCGTCCTTCTTCACTCCTACAGCCATCCAACCAAGTTGGAACAGAATGGCAACTGGGTGTCGAAATTTGAGAACATGCTGTCTGATCAAACAGAGCCAACGAGCAAAATTTTGTCTGTCAAAGTTGATCCGATCAGCCGGCAGTCTGTGCTGAAGCCCCGACCTGTCCTGCAGCACCGCAAGACACAGGACCTGAGGTACTGATCTGTTGATTGGGAGGATTCCAAAGAGTTCCAACTCAAAAATCTGTTTCCTCAGGATGATTGCACGCAGAATGCCCCGAAGTAGGTTGGGGAAGGCTGGCATCGATGTCGATCATTGGCCATGGCAGCAAGCGGCCAGAGGACAGCAAAAGGTTCAAGGTAGATGCTTTTGGCAGGTTTTGGTTAAATTCGTTTGTAGGATGAAGAATCTGTTGTGGGAGACCTCATGCACGCATTTCAAGATGTGCCGCATTCGAACCCCCTGCTCAACAAACAAGCCCTCGCTGCTCTCGAGAAGTCGCGTGCTGACAAGATCAATCGTCAAAGTATGGGCAGGAGGAATCATGTTCAACAGTTGGAAGGACAAGCTTCTGCCGGGCAACCTGCAGGTATCGATTTCTGTCTTGGGCCACCTTGATGATGTTGAATTCCTCCAGGAGCTTGGGGTCTCGACACTCCGTGGAACGGACACAACGACAAATGCAGTGAAGACACGCCTAACTGCAACAAACTTGCATCACAATCTGCAAATTCACCTGGTGGGCATCAAAATTTCAATGTTGACTTGCCTTCAACTCAATGAACGTGTGTACAGGCAAAGGAGTGAATGTTTATGACTGGCCGTGGAAACAGGGAGTGGGAGCGAAAGCGAAGCAGGCAGCGGTTCTCTTGGCTCAAGATGCCTCCATGCTACAGCAGCTGTCAAGATCTGGTGTGTCTGGTGCAAACATCGAAGAGAAATTGTCGCAATCACTTCAGGTTGCTTTTTTTCTTCTTCTTTTCCTTACTACAGTCTGGCTGTTCATCTTATGTGATAAGTCAGGCTGGTTCCTTTGACCTCGAGAAGTTGGCAACCCTGCAGAGACTGGCTGATGCGGGAAATTCGACCAACAGCACAGAGAGCCAACCAAGACTTTCGATCTTTAATAAGTGGTATTGGACTCCTGACAACACAGAATACCTCGAGAAGCAGCACGGTGTGCAATTTCTACTTTCCCGTAAATATTGTATTAGATGCTTACTAGATCAAAACAGGCATTGCTGTTGATCAATGGCCGTGGGAGGCGTGCAAAGGCATCGATTGCAAGCCTGGAGCCATTTTCGCTAAGGGAACAAGAGAATGGGAGCGAGGAGTTGCACAGAAGCTTCGGGTATTCGCTATGACCTTGTCTTCGACAGCCATCTTTATCTTCATTTTCGTTTCCTCTTGTGCCCCTTGCTCCTGCCCGTCCTAGAGCTTGTTCGTAATTATCTTCTGCAAATCTCTTCCTTCGATTTCTTGTTTACATTCGTGCTGTTGCCATTTCACCCTCCATCCTTTTCCTTTTGTCCTTGTTTCTCTTTCGAATCCATAGCTTTGTTGCTGACGTTGGGGTTTCAGGCCGACTCACAGGACATGAGCAAGTTAGCGGACGCTGATGCTCAGCTTGGCATCTTTCATACACAGTCGCTGAACCAGACAGAATCAAATCCAGTCGTGAGTTCACTGACTGCAGTGTCATTTGTCGGCAGAGCTGATGATATGCTGCGGCAGACCTGTGCCTCTGACGTCCCTGGTTGCAAGAAGTTGGGTGAGCTGGGCGTGCAAGTGAATCATTGGCCATGGCAAGAGGCGCGAGCAAAGCGACAGGTGCATCTCTAGTTTGTCGCAGACTCCCATGGTTGACCTTTTGGCAGTGGGAGCAGCGACTGGCTGGAAACCTGGTGGCCGAAGCGACTGCGTTGAATCGTCAGTATGAGGTGAGAGAGAAGCATTACGAGCCCATGTGCTGCTTCGCAAATGGATGATGATCGACCGTAGGCGATGAAGATTGCGCGTGCGAGATACGCTGCGATGATGCAAGAACGAGCTATGGCCCGCCAGGGTTACCCGGCTGGTCGAGTTCGCTGGGAGGCACCTAGCTTCCCTCCCTTCTTCCGGGCCCACTGAACAGTGAGGCTGCGCCAGGCCGTCAACTTGGCAACGTTATGTCTAAAACTCGAGTAGAATTGTTGGAACGTTTTCGCCTGGCCGAGCCGCGGCGCGCAAGTACGGTCCACACAAATCTTGAAGTAGTGAAGCTGTCCGATCATGCAGACTCTGTGACCTGCCAGTCACCGTGACCGTCGGACAGTACCGCACTTCGAAACGGTACCTCTCAGTGATCGGACCGTGAAGGTCACCGACCGTCGGCGGGCCGTTCAAACTGAGTTCTCTGCATCATTTCGTGCTAGGGATGCATCTATTTATGGAGGCGAAATGCGTCCGCATCCCCGGAAAAATAACACGTTCGACTACCCCCTCTGTCCCCATGTTTGTACCGCTACTCATGAAACCTCTATCTGTACGCTTTGACCAGGTCAACCCCACCCCACCAATTTCTCATCCTACACCGGACGACCCCTCGATTTCCACTGCTCTACCCCTGGCCTCCTCACCGCATGCAGGAGTACCCTACCTACTACCTAGCTCTCCGTGCATCCAAAAACTGCAGCCATCCCAGAATATCACCCCACCCACCTTAATTACTAATCCCGATTCTCTCACCCCCCACCGCATCCTTTTAATAGATCGCAGAGCCACCCCACCCCTGCTTTGCCTACCCCTGTTCTATGAAGATTCTCAAGGTCACCAGACCACCCCACCCTCTAAGAAAATGATCCAGCTTATTTCGTTCGCTTATTTACACTTGTACCCATGCTGCATACCCCCAAGAGTGCTCAATCACCCCTACCCCACCCTATAGAATGACCCTACCTTTGATGTAGAAACCCTTACACCCACCCCTCCATAGATAATCATATGTACTCTGGTTCCATCGTTGCTCCTACCCCCTTCATTCCCCGCCCCCTACTTCCCCAGACAGCTTCATCCGCCACCTCCTCTACCCTTTCAGTCTTGCGTACTCACGCATTCTCATCTCCACTTCCAACTTCATCGCGCACACTTCTTCCCTACCTTCTTCCCTCAGGCATCTCCCTGCTCCTTAAGACTGGTCAATTCGCCAGTGAGGATGTTGGGAGCAAGAAGCGTTCTTGCCCTCCTGGCTTTGTGCTTTCTGCAAGCTGGGGAAGCATACCGAGAGATCTCTGGAAGTTGTTATGGAATCTTTTCCGACTCGCACTTGCCAAACCAAGCGAATAGTCCACAAGGGAATTTTCAGGTAGATGGGACTTGGTTGGGGTTAATCCCTTGAACTGACGTACTTTAGATTTTACCCCAGGAAGAGACTGCAATTGTCGATGGCTACAAATTTGCGAACTTAACTATCACGGTGCTCATTGCGATGCGAATAAGATGTAGAGTGACTCTGTCTCAGAGCACGGACGCCAACGGTTTCCTGGGCTTCCTCGTCAAAACGTTCGACATGGAAACCGGAGCTCCTCTGGGAACTTTTCAGTTTCCTTTGCCGGTAGGACAAACATGGTGGTGATATGAGAAGAGTCTCTTACGACAAGGATGTATAATTAGGCCTATACTGTTCTCTTCGATTCCTGTCCGAGCAAGTTCTCAGCAGTATCCCATTTTACTAGAGATGGTAGGAGTTGTTGCTGCCGGGGTGTATTTGATGTGTTCCAGGGTACTGGAACAAAGAGAATCCTCTCCAGCTGCGTAAGCAGTCGTGATGTATAATTTACTGTGGAGCTTACCTGGCACCAGGTATCAAGTGGCCTGCGACGTCCAAGGATCTTGGAATTCAGGTCTTCCTGGTGGAAACCTTTCGCGTGTTAGTGCAAATGGCTGGCGTGTTTTACAGAAGTTCTCTTGACTCTCACTCAGCTGGTACGACATTAGAACGAGCATGTCTGGGAAAGTCCCTCCCAGCAGTATTCTGGAACCACCGCAGTACGGCATGTTTCAGTCCAGGTTGTCATGATGAGAATCCCAAAATCCGTTTTTTTGAAGCATTACAGGAACAACAACACCAGTTACCTCGTTTGCATCCTAGCTTTCTACCTCCCCTTGTTGGCCATCGTGAGTTCTTTGAGCTCTAATGTTAGTTTTGTATGATGGCGTACAGATTTTCGGAGCAATGTTGTCGAAGTGGACAAATGAACCAGGGGCGTTCGGAGGATATATGAATCGCCACTTGTTCCAATCTGTGCACATCTTATCCTTGATGTTTGCCTTTTGCTTATATTCTTGCAGGAATTCAAAATGTCGGACTGGTATTACAACGAGAGCAAATGTAAGGATACACATTCTGAGCCTTCCATGCTTAGCCTTCTTTGCAGTTTCTTGCGGTTTTTGGACGCGCATTTTGACAGCCGACTTTTTCCCAACCATCTCGAGTAAGGACCTTTTTCTTTGTCGTCTACGAGTCCTGATTGTCTACACCAGCTCTTACAGTCGGAGAGTTTTTGTCATATCTCATCTTCTACGTCGCTCAGGTTCTTCATTTCTCAAGTCCTGTGACGATGTTGAGCATGCATGCAGTTTGCATCCCTCGGTCTCTGGATCTCCAAGATGAATGCAGAAGCCAGCAAGGTCACCTCCTTGAATTCCGTGTACCCGAACCCGTACGATGCAGCAGCAGCAAGGTGAGACCAAGTTCCACTGCACGTGTTCTGAAACGGATGTCCAGGGCTTTCGGTCGCTTGCTTCAATCCAACTTGGCTTTGAGCTTGCTTCTTCCGACAAGAAACTCAATCTGGCCGGCGCTCATAGGTAACAACTTGACAAGGAGAGCACTGTATGATATATTTTCCAGGGATAAGCTTTGAGAGATGTATCAAGTATCATCGTGTGGTTGGACGGGTTACTTTCTTCTTTCTCTTCGCGCACGCCATCTTCATGATTGCACAGGTTCTGCTGCTATTTCGTTGAGTGTCTCTTGCTTTGCTGATCACATTCTGTGCAGTATGGGATTTTGGATCAGTTTAGTACGAGGATAACATTCTGGGGTGAAGATTTGACAATTCTTCGAGTTTGCAACTCCGGGTTAAATTTTGATTGTAGGATTTGGAAATTTGTGGGGAGCACTTGCTGGGGTGAGACTTTCTTGACCATTGGGAGAGGGAAGATCGTTGATTGATTTTCCACTAGATTGCCATGTTGCTGATGGCCATCTTCGCGGTTGAGCCAATCAGAAGGAAATATTTCGAGCTCTTCTACTACATGCATATGCTCGCCTTCCCGGTGCAAGAGAATGACATGCAACAAGTGATTGTTCGAGTAACACCTTTGTCAGGCGCTCTTGTTCTCAGTATTGCATGCTACAGACACATTCGCTCAAATTCTGCCTCCGCTTGTTCTGTTTGCGTTGGATTGGATTGTCAGGTCATTGTCCACTTGTCGCAATCAGCTAGTGCGCTCACAAAATTTGCAGGATTCTGCTGTGGCTTCGAATTGCAACTGTGAAGTCAACGACGGTAATTCATTCCGGCATCACTAGGCCTTCCTGGTCTTGACTTTTCTCAGGTCTACAGCAATGATTTGACCAAGATCGAGATCATCTGCCCCTACTTTGCTCGCACATTATGGAAGAGGTAAAGCAAACCGTACATACACACACTTATACAAACTTGCACTGCTTCACAACTCTGTCTTCTTCCTCTTGCTTTGAGCTGAGTTGGCTGATAATTCTGCAGAGGAACAAGGTCTCTCGGCTCGTTCGTGTACATCTCTTGCCCCGATGTCACATGTGCGTCTCTTGTTCTCATATCTCGACGGCCACATCTTACTGCCTGCTTAAGGTGACCCAACCATCTGGCATCCGTTCTCAGTGTCGGGGTATGCCGAGTCATGGAGGGCAGCAAGCATTCTGACAGAGGGCTTGTAGCTTCGTATACGACACAGACAAAGACATCGAGATGCAAGCCAGCACCGATGTAATACAAATCTTCGTGTACCTCTTTGACTTGCAACTTGTTTTGACATGCTTGTTCTCTGCAGTCGTCGATATCGCACAGCGGAGAGGTAAGATTATGATACAACGTGAGAGGCGACTTGTCATAATGGCCGGCCACAGCTTCCGATGGGCATCACGCTGCACATCAAGGTAAAGACGCTATGGGCTGTCTCTGACACACTTGCCTCATTCTTTATCTTTGCAGAACATGGGGGAGAATACCTGGACGGATCGTCTTCGTCTTGCGGCGCAAGAGAAGGTCAGCCTCCTCTACATCTCCGCTGAGTCTGAAGCATTACGGTCAGGGTTCCGACTTGCGCGTGCGCCTGGAAGGACCTTACGGTACCCTCATCCTCCTGCCCTGAGTCTAGTTCTGAGCCACCCTTACTCTCAGGTCACATGAGTGTGAAGCTGGAAGAGTACCCGGATGTACGTGAAAGCTGCATGCTCGCTGTCTCGCTCGTCCTGTCCTCTCATGCTTTCTCGTAGCTCGTCCTCATCGCCGGTGGCGTTGGCTTCACTCCTATGGCACCTCTACTGGTGTTCCATCCCTTCCCTTCCTCTTTCACCCCTCAACTCTTCTCAGGAAATGGCCCTTGACTCAGAGAGGCGTACCAATCTCCTGCCTCACCTGCGGTATACCGAGTTCCTCCTCCTCCTCCTTTTCGTTCGCTTGCTCTTCCTCCTCTTCCTCCTCGTTTTTATCTTGCTCCTTCGCCTCTTTCTCCTCCTGACGCTACTTTGTAGGAGAATCTGGCTTGTTTGGACTGTACAGAGCTATGACCAGCTCATGTGGTTTGAGGTGACGGGAGGAGAGGAAGTGACAGAGAGGAAGGCTGAGGGGTGGACTGCAGGCACTTCTCCTGCGATGCTTCTCCGCCTCTATGGTCACGAGGTCACAAGCCTTATTGCCCTCCAACGTGTCTCACGCGATTCTCCAGCGGCTCCAGCGGCTTTTCTATGAAGGTCCAGCTGTTTGTCACCAGGGACAACAGACAGGTGAAGGACCTGCACGTGCAGCGAGTCGCCTGATACGGCTGACAGGGGAGGAGTATGGCCTCGTCATCGATGCCCTTTAAGAAGGAGAGGTAGGAGGAGCTGCTGTCCTAACGTCGCTCTCTCACCAGCAACATGCAGGCCTGACATGGATCGCATCTTCAACACCATCGCGCGGGACACGAGAGGAACTGACGTGGCGGTAAGCTCGCGGCCCCTCATCGAGCTTGTCCTTCTACTCCTCCTACCCTGGAAGCACTGTTACAGTCTCTCCCTGACTGTCTCTCCTTTGCTGTCACTTGTGCTCACTAGTCGATGTTCTTCTGCAGACGCTGGTCTGCGGGCCTGTCTCGCTCGTCTCGTCGGCTTCCTCCCGTTCAAGGTCTGAATCGAGTCATCTCCCTCTCGCTGCGGGCCACCTCACCGAGTTACTTGCAGGCTTCATGGATTTGATTGTCACGTCGAGACCTTCAACTTGTAAATTTCGGATCTTCGGAGGCTTCAGAGAGTCAAAGCCTGAGTCTCAGAGTCTCCCCGGGAGATCGGGCGCCGCCGAGCGGGCGGCCTGCGGCCTGAGAGCGGCGCACCGAGTGTGTGATGAAAGTTGCGCTTTGCCTCATCCGATTCGGCGGAAAGTTTTGTGTATCTATTGTACATACATCACAATTGTTTCTTTATCCGTCCGTTCCGATCTCTTCACCACTGGCTTGGGCTTCAAGTCAACTTTAACTAACGGTTACGCCGTTGAGCAACCTCCGGGTGTCTCAGGCTTCTTTGATCAACCGTGACCTTTGTGACTCGCAGTGAGAGTCCGGGCCGAAGGTAGCCCGGCCTAGCTTCCTCTTGATTGTCCACGTACTGATTTTTCACTTAACTTTGAGTAAAAGGGCTTGCCCAGTGGATTTTTGGATTTTCGAGCCATGCTGCTTGCTAGGACTGTGTGTGCGCTGGCCGCCACAATGGTGGCATGTGAGGCCTTCACCTGCTCCCCTCGCTTCACCTCGCCTGCTCTAGGTCAGAGCCGAACTAGTTCGACTCATCCTGCTTCCTCTGCACTCCAGACTACTCAACAGCGAGCGTTGCTCGGTCTTAGGTGCTCGTCGGGCATGACTGAGGGAACGTCGAGAAGGGAGCTGCTCCAGCTTTCCCTGGCCGTGACCACAGGAGCCCTTGCAGCACCGATCTCTCCTGCCTTAGCTCAAGATGCTTTCAGCTCGTCGTGGCCACAACATGACGGCAAGTTCAAAGAGGAAGAATTTGCTGATTTTAAGGTATTCAGGATTTTTGGATTTGGCTCTTTTGATCGCATCCTGCAGGTCTCTGCTTCAGGGATCAAGTACAAGGATGTGGTGGTAGGCGAAGGATCGTCCCCCTCCCCAGAAGACACAGTCAGGGCTCACTATGCCGGGTGAGACTGTCGCATTGAAGCCATGCATTTCTGTTACTTGTTAAGCTCCTTGTGGTGCATCATGATGTTCTTCTCTCCCGGGCTGCTCGTTGATCGTTGGCCGCAGGTACCTTCTGGATGGTTCGCTCTTCGACTCGTCTTACCGCCCTGCCCTCTTCCCTTTCTCACTCATCACGCCCGACGGACCTCCAGTCGCGTTCAGGCTTGGCAGAGGCTCACTGATCCCCGGCTTCGAGGAAGCGCTTCTGGGGATGAAGACAGGGGGGAAGAGAGTCGTTTTGATCCCTCCCAAGCTCGCATACGGCGAGAGAGGATCAGGGCCGATCCCTCCCAACTCGCCCCTTGTCTTCTATCTGGAGCTGCGAACCATCGGGGGTGGAATGACGCTGTGAGGACAGAGCGAGGGAGAGATCAGCTTATCCTTTAATTTACAACCTCTTCTTCAAGATCTGATCTGATCGCTTCCTCCTCACGGTCCATAAGAAGAAGCAATCGAGAGGCGCATCATGTGGACTGAACTTCCAGTTCTCCTCCAACCCTAAAGGCTTGTCAGGGGCAAGAAACTTTGTGAAGTTACCAAAAGTTCGCAAGGACTCACCAGTAGAGCTTAGGCGGATCCTCAGAACCCTCCACATGCTCTTCGATCTGCCACCAAAACTCAATGTCGTCGTTATGGTGCACAGGAACATACCCACTGTCCCTTGAGCCTGTTTCCGTTAGGAAAGACAAAGACGCCCTCTCCAGGAGCTGGCTTGCCATCCCGGAAGGCTCCGATGTACTTGCTCCTGTCCTTGAACTGTACACAGGAGAGTTTATGATGTGGAAAACAAGAAATAAAGCGAAATAATACCAGCCATTCTCCTTCCTGAAAGTTCCCATCCTTCCACACCCCTGAGTACCAGCATGATCCCGCGAACGAGAAGTAGATTCCCTGCCCTGACTTCTTCCCCTGCGACCAGCTACCAACATACGAGTCGCCGTTGGGATACTTGAAGGTTCCCTGCCCTTGCCTGAGGCCATGATCCCAGGAGCCCTCGTAGACTCCGCCGTCAGGGTACGTCATAGTGCCATTGCCATGCTTGAGATTGGACTCGTAGCTGCCCTTGTACACTGCGACGCACTTGGCTCCTTCCACGTGCTTCCACGTGTAGACACCCTCCTTCTCCCGTTGATTGTGTTCGATAGTTCCCTCGAACGTGTCTCCGTTGGGATACGTTGCTTTTCCCTTTCCGTGGGGAAGCTGGTTTTTGTCCTTCTCTCCCTCCCACACTCCAAACTTCTCCTCGGTTTCTTCAGGTTCCGCTGCCTGTAGAGCATGATCGCTATCAGATTTGATTCGGGAGAAAGCGCATGAAGACAGTCATCGAGGGATCTTTGAGTTGAATATCGGGAGTGACAACAGGAGGAGGAGAAGCAGAGAGGAAAAGAGGGACGAAGGAAAAGAGATGGAATGAGGAGGGCACAGAGGAGGATGGAGTAGCGCATGGTGGCGTCTCACCGCGGGCGGAGGGGGTTCATTCTTCTTGGGCGGCATTTCGGAGGTCCAGTATGTTCCTGTGAGGGTACTTCAGTGTTGCTTTTGTAATTGTGATGGTGAGCATATTTCATATGATATTCCAAATTTTCAACGTTACAAATCAATTTCCAAAATTGTCAGACTACATGAAATTGTGCGCAGACTATCCGTTTCCGTTGGGAAATATATTGACTATAAACGTTCAGTTCTTGCTTAGTCAACACCCTTATAATGAATTCCCGCGGCCCGGCGCCGGCCGGCCGGAAGGTGGCCAGTCACGCCCGCCGTGACTCCCGGCCGGGCGGGGCTCGTCGGAGTCGTCCCCGGTCAAGTTCCGCCACTGGCACTGGGCCGGGCCGGGGACTCGGAGTGGCCTGAGAGGCTCAGCGTGATCCGCGGCAGTGCCGCCACCGCGACGTGACGGTTTTCGGTTCTTTATACATGATAGTAAACTTGTTGCCACCGGCGCCGACGATGAGTCCGGAGGCCCAGTCCCGTGTTGCCAACTTGACCTTAGTAGTTACTTCCTTCTCCTCTTGTTCTTCCACACCTTCGATACAAAATCCAAAACCTTTCCCTGGTGTGCGATTCAGTTGGCCAATAAAATAATAAAGTTTACCCCTACCTGTGCGTCCAGACCCTTCATGACTGAGTCGTGATCAGCCGTTGGGAGCATCAGCAAGTCCGAGCAAGGGAGTTCCGACTCGGTACATAAAGTCTGTTCACTCTCTCGGACCTGAACACCCTCACAAGTCAGTTGAAGATCGGATGCATGAAAGATGAAGAAAAATCAACCATGAACACAAGAAACAGAGTTAAATAGATTATGAGACCTTGTATAGCTTGGAAGACATGGTGACAGGAACAATTTTGTCCTTTTCTCCATGGAGAAAGAGCACAGGTGAAGAGACATTCTTGATGAATTTCACCTGTCCAAATTCATCATTATACGAATGGAGAAGTCAAGAGCAATTCAGACTACCTGCTGGAACTTGTGCTTAAGCTTGCTCTTCAAGAGGGGTTTGAAGAGCTCGTTGAAAGTTGATGGGAGGTAGGAAAAAGGCGACATGGAAGATTCCATGCTTACATCAAGAACTTCTGTGAATGGCGATTCCAAGATCAGGCCACCTGATCCAGTAAAGGAATTTCAGTACTCGATACCATTCATCCGCTACCTTCCACCTGGCGCCTTGCCCTTGGAAGTCAGAAATGCGGCTAAGCGCGTGGCTACCGCAGAGCCAAAACTATGTCCATGAAAAACAATACAGCTGGGCACATTTCCCATTCATTCCTAAAGGCAAAGAGGCTGTGCTTACCGCGGATCGATTCCCAGTCCTCGTTTTTGGCTTTCAGGGGAAGACGTGAGGAATTCGAAGACACTGTACGCATCTTCATAAATTCCAGACTGCACCAAAGCTTAGCACGTTTCAAAATCTCAGCACAGGCCATTTCCAACCTCGGTGGGACAAACTGCAAATGGAACTTTTGGGCAAAGACTGTCACCAAATCCCCGATAGTCGAAGGTCACGACATTCGCTCCAGTCTTCTTCGCGTACCAGGCAAGCTTCCATGCCTGGAGCATTTCAGATTTGAGAGAAACAATTTGCATTGAAGCACACCTGCTTATTCCTGTTCTCTGCATTTCCATGGAAATAAAGCAGAGTTCGGCAATGTTTGGCAGCCATTTGAGATTCTTCCTTGGTGTAATTTGCTAAGTAGCCACGCATGGGAAGCAGATTGTGCCAGACTGCCAGCTCAGCGTAGTCCGAAGTATTTAAGATTATATTGGAAGTGAATGGTCGAGGAGGCTCTCTAGGCACCGACGAGAACATATTACTTGCCCAGGACATGTAGACAAGCATTCCCTGCTAGCAATTCAGCTCGAAAATTATCGGTAAAACATCAACCTGGAAACCTTCGAAGAATAAAGTCGAGACGAGGAAAAGAGTGATCCAGAACATGATAGGAAGAACGAAATATTTGAAAACCTCCCACCATGTGATATGTTCGGAATCCATTCCCATTTTCACTTGCTGTTCTCGAAGTCTCCTCCATGTCATGCTCTGCCACTCCACGAATGGACCAAAATCAATATAATATCCTTTGCCATGTCGACCATCCTTGTAGATGTAACAGTCTCGTTTTCCTTGAAATTTCTCGCTAGCAACGAATTCTTCTCTTCCAGTGCCCAAGAATTTGCTTACATTGGGTCGTCTCGGCCGAGAAACAACCTCTTCGGTGTCCGCAATCCATCTCGCCACTGGCACAATGGTTTGTATGGGTCCACGAAAGTTGATACCTAATATCTCCGTCGCTTTCTGATTCGATGCGAAATTTCTGCGATAGATGTTGTCACAAGCCTCTGGAGCTACCCACAGTTCTGGAAGTGCCAGCGTTGACTTGTCGAGTGCGTAAGACATATCCATCCACTTTCTCTGCCGCAAGTCTGGATCTCTATCAAAAGCTGTCTTCGATGTATCAACTGCATACTGCAAGACAGAGATCGGTTGTGTTGTGATATTGAATGTCTGACCCAAGACGCTATCAAACTTTGAAATGCAAGCTTCGACAGCTTCAACAGCATCTTCAACACGACAAAACTGAACCACACTAACCTGAGAGGGAATCATGATCCATCCTCCGGTCTTCATCGCTTTGAAGACAATAGGATCGTACAACCCTTGACAATTGATCGGACACCAACCTTTGCCCACCAAATCTGAGAGAAGAAGGACTGTTGCAGGAAAATTGGACTTTTGATGCTCCCTGATTATGTATTCTTCCATCATCTTTTGCTCAAAACCAAAAACACTGTGGACAGACCCCCTTCCACCATCTTCAGTCCATGGTCTCAAAGCATCTGTTCCATATGCATGAATGGTCCCAATATGAATGTATTGTTTGATATTCGTGCCTTTGATCGAATCCACAAGCTCCTTGCATTGCGCGAGTTCAAAACAAGAACCATCGATCAAAATATCAGGCTGAAACCCGATGATCGACTCGCAGAATTTTTGGCTTGTATTGCCATCACGACTCAGCAAATGAGTCTCTATCTTATTCCAGCGATCATCTTCCTTCGTATACGGTTCATTGTCATCTAGATTCACTGACACAACTTGGTGTCCTGATTCTAAGAGAGCTGGGCAGAGATAGCTCCCAAGCTCGCCATTCCCACCCACAACCACAACCTGTGAAATATAAGCATCTTTCTTCGAACTGAATGCTTTTCACCTTCATGCTCGAGACAAGAAAGCGAGGTGCTGCCTGGAAGAAAGCAAGTCAAGAGAGTCAACATAAAAAGAAATTGAGCGCTAGCTCCTCTTGTATGTGAGCACGCATTAACATTGTTTGACATAATACTTTCTGAGCGTATTACACATCTTATTGCGTAAGGTGGAACTCATTCCTGCACCAACTGCATTCTCTGGCTAGATGCGACCCTAGCTATGGCAACCCATTCCTTCCAAAATGGGCACGATGAAGTCCAACGAATCTCGTCAATGGTTGCAGATAGACGTCAAGAGTGAGAGAGAGAGGAGTAAATCAGAACGAGCTTTCGAATCACTGGGGGCAAGGACATGTCGAGTAAGTATCCAGGTTTGAATTTTGCTTCCTTCTCGTGCATCTGACATCTGTCATTCTTCGTTTCCCATCATACCTGCTCTACATTTTCAATCTATTTATCTGTGTCTTTCTCGCTGTCTTTCAGTCTTTCCCCCTCCCCCCCCTCCCCCTCCCCCTCCTTCTGTGCTCTTCTCCGCCTTTCTCAATCCCTCGCCACCTTCTCAACCCCCTGCATGGTGCGCCAGGGTGCGCGGAAAACCAAAATGCATGAGGGTGATGATGGCGGTGTAGAGGCAGCAATGGTGGGTACTACCCATCCCCTTCGTCTATCTTGATATTGAACCCCCCTTATCAGAGTCAACTAATGAGCTGTGAGTGGGTACTACCTCGGTCCATACCCTCTCGTTCACCACCCTAAATACACCACCACCCCAACTTGTCACCAAGGTGGACCGCAGAAGCCGGTGTACCAGAGGTCACGTCCCCCCAGGGGGTCGTAGAATTTTACAAGTATTTTTGGCGGAGGGATGTAGGATAGTGAAGGGAGCCTCAGGTGAATGTGTGGGGTAAGGGTACTAATTTGAAAGAGATGGAGTATGGATGCGCCTAAAGGTAGCACAATACTATGATAAAATGCCTTTGAGAAAGAGGAGGCACACAACTCAATAGTTCAAGTGTCAGGTACAGAAGCTTGAAGGGGGTGGGGGTAAGGGTGGTCAACCAACTTTCTGATCTAAAAAACATTTGAACGTTCTGAAAAAAAAGAAAAGAAAAAGGGACTCTTACTATCACCCCTTATCCTACCACCCCTACCCCATCACATCTCAGCCAACAGAAGGCAAAAGATAGTGTGAAATCATTTATTTGCTGAGGGACCCCCCCCATTCTCCTACCTACCCCCTTTGCTTTTGTAGTGCACCCCACTGTGTGCAAGTTTTACAAGCGCAAGCATGCAGTTCCTGAAGGTTCGTTTTGGCATGCTCCTTTTCGCAATGCCGCCATCGATACACATCCTCCTCTTCATCCTCCTCTTCATCCTCCTCTTCATCCTCCTCTTCATCCTCCTCTTCATCCTCCTCTTCATCCTCCTCTTCATCCTCCTCTTCATCCTCCTCTTCATCCTCCTCTTCATCCTCCTCTCTCCTTCATCTCCTCCCTCTCTTATCCTGCTTATTATGCTCCCCTCCCTCCTCTTCCCCACATTCCCCCTGCAGCTTTTGTCGTTTCACGATGCTCCAATAGCTGTTTACCCAACAGCAGCAGCAGCAGCAGCAGCAGCAGCAGTTCTCTTCCTCTTCCTTTTCGATGTTTATGCATCCTTTCCCCTGCACGCTCGTTCTATATCACTCGACTGTGCCCCCCCCCCCCCCCTCGGTGAATTTCAACTTTATGAGTGAATTCAACTTCCCCCCTTGGATTACCTTGTATGTCCATCTCATTCCTTGCACTCCTAATCATATATCATATTCAACTCTCTTCTACTCAATGCTTACTTGTACCTATTGTCGCCTTGCTGCTTCTCCTACTTCAATCACTTTGATCCTTCGTTGCATCTACTTCGCAACCCCATCCCCCCTTCTTGTTTGTCTCCTTTCTTGAATGTTTGTTAATGGAAAGCTGATGGTTTCTCCCTGCCACACTTTAGGGCTCTCAGTTCCTTTTCTTCTTCGAGTATTCATCCTGCTTGCAATCTGACAAACACTTACTATCCTCCCAATTACATAATATATTGTTTCTCACATCCATCTGCTCAAATGCACTGGATCTTCACGTTCTGTTACATCTCCGAAATCGTCACAACAAGCAAACTGTCATCAGCTGCCTCCGCTTCTAGTGATGCTTGTATTGTCTGCAGATGGCTCAAGAGTTTAACATTGATCATGACCATCACGACGGACCTCCTGGACCAGCTTTCGGATGGATCTCAACCTTGGACCCAGCGACCCAGGACATGATCTACATGGTCATGGGAGCGGTGGCTTGCTTGATTATCGGCGTGCCGATGGTCATTATGCGCCATCGCGCAGCGCTGGCAGCAGCCAAGCGCAAGATGGACTAAAGGCAGCGACATGAAGTTTGAGAGGAGAGGAGGGTTGTGGGATGTCTATTGCCGCGTGTCTTGAGGGATACGTGTGACGCTGATTTCATTAAGCTAGAAGAAACATGGATAAACGATAAGACTGGTCGAAATCAACTGACTCCGCTACAAGGATAGTTGTAACGCAACGATGACTGCTGACATCAGGAGAAACATTGAAGAAGCTCGAGGAGGAGCAGCGTTTATGTCACCTGTCGCTTGTCAGTCAGTCACGACTGACGTCACTGCTTCACTCACTAGGTGTGATGAACTTGGGCCAACACCCCACCGAGTAGTTCTGCACCAGCGCACCAACAGCTGGACAAGCTTGTCAGCCCTCCGCACTTCGCACCCTCGATCTCACTTTGGTTGACCAAGGTCTTGACATTCAGCTTGCACTGATCGCACGAGTCTCGCACCTCCACTGTCACGGCCTGCGTCCTCTACAGCTCACAGCACAGCGAGCAGGTCGCTCCTCCTTGCCTGCCCGACGTCCACGTTGGAGAGGAAGGAGGACATGAACAGGAAGTTGCCGCTGATGTTTGTGGCTTTGAAGCGGATGACAACCTTAGAGCCTCCTTGGACGGCGTAGGTGTCCCTCCAGCTCCCCACGTCTTGTCCAGCTGGACTAGAGAGGATCTTGCAAGAGTATCAGACTGTGAAAGACTCTACCACGTCCATCTCACCATGAAGTAGTTGGACTGGAGGTGGAAGGTAAAGAATCCCTGGCCGACTCCTTGGATCTCCCATTCCTGGTGAGTGTTTGAGTAGCGTAGACAGAAAGGGAGGACGAATTTAGATGCTAGACTGAAGACCGAGAGTACGAGTACCTGGATCGAGTCCTTGACAACGCAGTGTCTGACTTGACCTCCATGGTGCACGTCGCCTGCCGCGGCCTGACATTAGTAGCAGCGAGCTAAGAGAGCCGGAGAGCAGTTGACCGTTCATAGTCAACCATGGAAGATTCCTCTCAGTGATCGCGACTGGGTCAGTTGGAGGAACCGTTCGAAGAATCCTTGAGCCGCTGCTACCGACAAGTACAAGTTGTCTTGCAGAAACCTGAAGGACGAGGACGAGGAGGAGAAACAAGTCACCTCGACATGGAGTCCTCACATTGATGATCAATCCTCAGACCTTCGCTTCCACCAGGCTGACGTTGAACCTATCCGGCATCACGGGCATGATTGCTGGGAGCGGATCAGCAGCTCCAGTTCCTATCGCGCGAGTCAGCGTGAGGTTGGGAAACAAAAGCCGAGGATCTCACCAGATTGAATGTTGACAACCAGAAGGTCCTGCTGCTTTCTCACTGCACCCGTTCCCTTGACAACGTTCGTCATCGCCATTGCAACATGAATGCCTGTCAAAGTACCAGCAACGGGTCGTTTGCTGGATCTGCCTGGCTCCTCAGGACGTACTGCCCTTGTGTAGTGCATCTGCATTCCGCCATATCACTGAGAGACACAGAAGCATCAGAGGTCGACTGGATGAGAAGGTCGGCCCTTGTCCCGGGGAAGAGAGTCACTCGCTGACCGTTGAGATGCGTCTTGACCTGACGAGAGAAGCTGAGAGGATGTCAAGGTCAAAATCCCTACCTTCCGCGGACTGTTTCCGTCTCTGATGTAGAGAGAGTCAACGGCGAGGAGAAAAGTTGTGCAGCCATCGCTGTTGCCATGTAAGACAACGTGACAAATACAAACGCAGGAGCAGGCGTGACGGGATCACTTGCTGCATGAAGGAGAGTTGCAGACGAGGCTGATTTCAAGTACAGAAGCAGGGCAAGCGTTTGCCATCCTCACACGTCTGGACAATGACCAAGGTAAGACCAAACAAGGAAAGCCCTGTAGAAATACCGTGCTTGCCCAGCAAGTAAGGTCAAGCTGGGAACAAACTGGCCGTTGGTTAATACAGCATCGTTCCATTCGGGATCGTTGATGGCGTTGGCGTCGAAGGTGACATTCCACTTGGTCACCAACTCATCATAGTTGAACTTCTGCAGAGAGCTCTCTTAGCACTTGTCAACTATCCATCTTCCGGGACCAAACCTGCAGGTAGCCGTGATCGTAGAACCTGTTCACGTCAGTGTCGCTGGGGTTGCGGTACGATAGCTGCTGAAAGAGGAGGTGGACTTCGCGGAGATTGAGGAAAGCTGTTTCAGCGTCACCCACGGAGTCTCTCACTACCAACATGCCAGCCATCCCTCCTCCTGACTGCAGGCCAGCAGATCCCATCCACATCGGATGATACAAGAAAGTTCCACGGGGATGTGCGAAGTCGAAGAAATAGTCCGTCGTCAGGTTGCCTTGTGCTTCCGCTAGCGAACTGACGTGCTCCGCAGTCACGTTTGCCATGCCATACACGTAGAAGTTGGAGTGGTTCTCCTGCTTCGGGAAGTCGCACAGCGACATGTTGCTTGTGATGACTCTGGAGCCTACCTCATGCACTTTCGGGGTTGTTCCTAGCGTCCCCCTGTCAACGTCCAACGAGCCGGTCGACGCGACCCTCTGTACATACATCGTCTCACGGCCTGCTCCTGTTCCCACGTCCACGTAAGCACAGGCTGCCACATCCTGTGGCACACGTTGAACGGTGATAGTCTTCTCCATGAGGCCGAACGAGTCTCTGACGTCGACCTTGTTCTTCACCGTCGTCGAGCTCGTTGTTTTCTCCAGCTTGTTCAGTAGCGTCACGCTGAGGATCGTCGGGAGAGTCGGGGCAGGGCCGGCCTCGAAGGACAGCGTTGGACCAGGAAAGTTTCCGTTGTACGATCGCACGTTCAACTCCAAGGGCCCGTAATTGCGATTGAGAACGGTCATGCTGAGGTCTGTCGTGAGCTTCTTTCCTTGTCGCACTAGCGTCCTTGTGCATGACCTGACGGGGCATGCGGAACGGAAATCCTGCCATACCTCAGGTTGGACCAACGGGTTGCCTCTTGTCCTTGATGCAGTGGTACAAGGAAGCGCAGAGCAGACAATGAACGACAAGAGGAAGAGCGTATGCTCCATAACGACTGCCGCTAGTGCCCTCCTGGTAGATCCAGCACACACGATGCTCGAGTCAGGTCTTCTCTTAAGATCCTCGCTCCATCCTCTTCTCTCTCTCTTCTCTCTCTCTCTTCTCTCTCTCTTCTCTCTTCGCTCCGCACCCCTTCGTCTAGACTGCCATACTGGCCATCACTGAACTTGACGTGACAGTCTCTCCCATCATTCGCGGCAACATAACTCTTATAGGCTGGCAACACCTAGCAAGTCAGCTAGATCTGATATAAGGGTTAATTAAGAATGGTGTGCAAGGCGCTTGTAGGAGCGGCATGTGCCATGAGCCTGCTGGCAGTGGCAGAGTCATTCGTCTCTCCTGCTGTTCTGGTTCACTCATCCAAGGTAATTCTCTGTCTCTGTCTGTCTGTCTGTCTGTCTGTCTGTCTGTCTGTCTGTCTGTCTGTCTGTCTGTCTGTTTGTCTGTCTGTCTGTCTGTCTGTCTGTCTGTCTGACTGTCTGTCTGTCTCTGTCTCTGTCCACCATCGCTTCTAGTACCTGTATGGTATTTCCTCGTTTCAACCCCCAATGGTGTGCCATACACTTTCTAACGGCATGTCTCAGACCAGTCTAACTCTCGCTAAACCATCACATTCAAGGAGTTTCGGTAGCAGCTTGCTCTCGCTAAGAGCTCAGGAGGGAGAGATGGACAGCAAGACAGCTGGAATCCTTGGTGGAGTCAGCCTTGCCGCCGTCCCCGTGATGCTGTGGTCCGAGTACACATTGAAGTGATGTCTTTCTCTTCCTTTGCTTCATCAATACTCTCACTGATCTTGGATCCTAGGACGACTGGCTGTGGCCTTCCAGCGGGCCCTGGAGGAGCCTTGGGAGCCTTGGAGGGAGTGAGTTACCTGTGGGTCGTCGGACTGGTTGCATACTCCTTGTACACCAAAGTCAAGACAGGCAAAGGTCTCCCTCCAGGTGAAAGATAGCTAAAAGCTGCTTCTGCCCACTTGCCTTCCCACCTACATCAGCTCCGTCTCACGATCATTTTCAGGTCCTGGCGGCATCCTCGGAGCTGCCGAAGGTCTGGCATTTCTTGCAGTGCTCGCGGGAGTGGTTGTGCTCGGATTGCAGATCAAGGACTACGGCTACATTCCCAACGCTGTTCCTACAGAGGGAGGAAAGTGTTCTTAAGATCAGCACTCGTTACAAACACCTCGATGAAATGACGGCCAGGTGAGATAATTTACAACCTTTAAAATACTACACCAAACGTCATTAAAGAAAATCTAGGAATACAACAATCCTCCAGGAACAACAAGTTCCATGGTCTTGACATTCAAAGGCAAACTGGCATAACCCCATTAGGATGGGATGGGATGAATTTGAACAGATTCCGGTTTGAGTCCTTTGAACGCCTTGATATGCTCAATGGAGTTCAGGCGCTCCGTTACCTCTGGAGTCTTCGATCCGTACTTCAAAGCTGGAAGGACATAATTTGGATCAGCTTTTGATCGTTTCAAACTTCTTGGAAGCTTTGTAGGAGATATTGGAGTTTCTCTGCCATTAGAGCTCTTTTCATCAAGGGGTGGTCTGTCTGTCGGACTCAACGGTTCCTGGTTGACTTCGATTTCTCCGTCGACAGGAGCATGTGCACTCGTCAGAGTATTTTCCATGTCTGAATCTTTGTAGAGGTTTTGCAACAAATAGAGATAGACGAGCTGGCGATTGTGAAACACACTAAAAAGAAAATTAGAACAATACCAATCTTCACAAAATCACTTACTTCTCAGACTGTGCAAGAATTTCAGTAGCGTTTGTAGGGAAAGGTTTTGATGATACTTCTGGGAACTCATCTTTGAGGTTGAGAGGTATCATATCCATATTGCAATGAGCCTTGTAATTGGTTTTGAAGAGATCATTCTTGACTGCAGAAACGTTCGGTGTTCCCAAGGATATTGTTTCAGGTTCGATTCGTTGGTGCTTCGCAACAGTTGCAGGCGTCACCAGTCCTGCACAAGGTTCTGTACACTTTTTCTTCCCCTTTGGAGTGGGCTTGGGTGAAGTCAACACTGGTGCCTTGCCTACCTGATCTACACTGGCCGGTGGAATCGCAACCTGAAATCATCGATGTTAGATCGGTTGATTTGATTTCATCCACATTTACCTCCAGTTTTCTCTTTGATCCTCGGCCTGTGTTGGATGCATTCGAAGAATCACGGCTCTTGGATAAGTTTGGCAAGAGTAACGTGGCTCCTCCTTTTGCAATCTTGTCTGAAATATACCAGAAGGCTTGCAAGACTTTGTATTCAGCATTCCCAGCCAATTGCACCTCCCCCTTTTGATGAATCGAGATCGAGACTGGTTCAGGCTTGCATCTCCGCTGTTCCTCCCATTCATCGATCGTAAGCGGTAGGAATTTCACTTCGATACGGGGGCACACAGTTCCAACTTTTTGTACTTGACGCACGAAATCAATTTCGCCTTTGGCCTTCATCCATTGATTCAACACGGTATGCTCTGTTCGTCGAAGACGAGTATCATTGAGGATCTCATGAAGACGATCAATGTTGATCACGTTCTCTTCACCGCAGGCTTGAAAGTGCCTCTTGGTAAGCCAAACCTCACATTTGATTGATGTCAGATCTACTGCTCCTCCTTGCAGGCAACTGAGACTCAAGTAAGTGATTCATCATCCAATGGGAGTTTGACTTACCCCGACATGTTCAGCGAGAGAGCAACTGCTCTGGCTGCTGATTCAGCATCACCTCTGCACCCTGCAAGACGGATCGTTCCATCAGCAAGGACTTGACCTTTGATTTGGCGATCTGTTCCAGGAGGCGAAATGACCACCATCACGCTGTCTCCAAATGAGGTATCATTCTCTGCTTTGATGCCTGCAGCCTGCAAAGCTTTGCTCAATTTACGAATATCTGTGGTCTGTCGGGTGCTCCAAGTGAAATCTTTGTAGTTCTCGTGAAATTTAGCATCTTGCAGTTTGATCGGAGGCATTCCAGAATTTCGGGTGTTGGCCATTCGATCAATGATAGACTGTGCGTAGTATTGTGCTTCACTGGATGATTGGAAATCGGATTTGAGACATCTTAACTTCCCTGTGCTGAAGACTTTCAGGCACGCCTGCTTTCCACCGACAAGGGAGATGAAAATGCTGACTCTGTCTTCAGATGGCGGCTGAATCGTGACGGTCCCTGCAAACATATTGTTAGCAAGCATTGTGATGTGGCGTCAAACATTGTTTACCATCGAGTCTTGAAAGCCCTTCTCTGTAAATGCCAGTGCTTACCCGCTTGGAAAATCGCACACCAACCGTTTCCATCGTCACCTCTGTTGCAGCCTTCAACTGAGAGATTGCGTCTTTGAGAGTGATCTGATTGAACTGTAACATATTATTCATATTATTCAAGTCTCTTGCAGGGTAAAATGCAAGAGTCAACTGCGCAATCAGCCTTTCTCTTGCCTGCTTGCCCTGTGGTAGGACTCCGTTCGCTCCAAAGAATCGAGCGTGACCAATCTGAGAAAACCCGCCAGAAAACTTGAGGGGGGAAGAAGAAGCAGCAGGAAGATCACTACTGTCCTGAAAATCGGGGGAGGCAGCAGCGGCGGCTTCTAGGGAAGCGACAAGCAGACCGCGCTGCTGTGCATAGCAAGGGCCAAACTTTCCCGCCCTCGGTTCTTTTTTGTTGCTTCGTTCCCGCGCGCAAGCTACTCCACTAAGAAATACAAATAGAAGCCATCTTGGATGCTATCAAGTACCCCCCACCGCTATATTGGATATTGAAATAGTGGGTACATGATGATGTACCATTGAAGTTGTTTTTATATTTGAAATAATTGTTGTACTGAACTTCAAAGGCCCGGCATCCGACTCGGAGACAGTGCCCCGGCCTTCATCTAGCTACTCAGTTCTTCACTCAAAGTTAAGTTAAAAATTAGTACTTGTACTGTTGCCATGTTACAACAACTTCGGACGGCAGTTTTTGCTCAAGACCGTCTGCCCGACCGAGTTTAATGCACACGAAAACCAGAATTGAGGACTGAGTGACACTCGGACATGAGAGATAGACTGTATGCTAGGATGTGAAACCCGAGCATCCAGACATGAGAGGACCCGGCCCGGTTAGCCTGGCAAGACCGTCGGCTAGGAAGCCTGGCGGCCCCCCGGGCCCTGCTTCGTCCCACATGCTACACAGGCTGATGACTATGGCCTGGAGAGTTTTGTTAACTCGGCGCTATCTGAGGCTGGCACGGCTGCCGCATACGATCCATCAGACGCGTTGGGTGACAGCACGCCGACGGTGACTAGCCCGGCCCGGGCGCGGCGCCGGACGGCGCGGCCGCCCGGCGGTACTCAGGTCACTAGTACGCCCGCGGCTGGCGGCCCGTGACCGGGGGCCCGGCCCCGGCCCGGGTGCCACCCCGCCGGGCGCCGTGACCGTACCGGCGTCCCGGGCGGCAGTCCCCGCCGGGCCGGGCCGCATATTCACGGGCGCAGAAATCATATCGACCTCATGAGGTTACAACAAGACACTGTGACAGTTTTTGCTTGCCGTATGCTAGGATGTGAAACCCAACTTGGACTCGGAGAGGACCTTCAAGTTGCAGTTCAATGGTTGGTTTACACTGAGAGTGATCCCCGGCCCCCCGGGCCGCCGCCCCGTGCACAGCCGGCGGCGCCCCGGACGGTGCCGACGGTGCCGGCCCGGGGGCCTGGCCCAGGCCGCTCCCGAGTCTCCGGGCCCGGAGGTGCAACCCTCGCTGAGTCATGTTTGACCGGCAGTGGGCGATGTACCCCTTCGATTTCACCACGGCGAGATGGATCTTGTACGGTAGGGTAATTATCGTTACAACCAAGAGGAAGTTCTAACGGTTCACAGAAATGGCCCCGGCGACGCGGCGAACCATGAATGAGAAGGCTTGTTGGACAGGCGGGAGGGGAGGAGGATGGAAACTGCAGGAGTGACACTGAGAGACTGAAGGAGAACAACTTGATCCAGACAGAAAGGTGTGGGACCAAACTTCCGGCGGGAGAATTACAAGTCAGTTTCTTTGCGAAGTGCGGGAGGGTTTAGGTGTAAGTGCAAGCGGCGGAGGCACGGGGGGAGGGTGTGATATAAAGCAGATATTGCAGAGCGAGACTGATAGTAGAGCTCTTCAAACGAGAACCCTGACGCCAAAAAGGTTCCTGCTGAACAGATCCGAAGCGTCAAATCGGAATTTCGGAAGAAGGCAAATCTCAAACCTGATTGAAAACCATGGCAGCCAGAGGCGGAGAGAAAGGGAAAGGAGGGTCGGGAGGAGGTGAGCCCAAACCGCATCATCTGTTGGCCTCGGATCCTGCTCATCAAGGGAAAAGAATATTCCATGTCAAGCTCAACAAAGAGGTTCTCCAGGAGCTTCAATTTGGAAGCGGAGAAGCAGTGTTTACCTTGGGGAGAGGAGATCGCAGCATACTCAAGCTGGGAAATAACAAATGGACGCTACAAACCCCCAGTATAGAGGAAGAGAAGAGGACGTTGGAATGCGTCCGAACCAGCAACGGGGTTTGTTACAGACTGGGCATCTCGGACAGGCTTGTTTTGCAGAGAGAACGCGGGCTGAAGGAATCAGAGAAGGAAGAACTTAAAAGGGCGAATGCAGAGGAGCAACAGCGCAAGAAACAAGGGTGAGAATTTTCATTTTCATCTTTCATGTTCTCATTAGTGTTGACCAGAGCTGCAATCAAGCACGATCCTTGCAGCAGTGCCGGAAAGAAGCGAAAGATTGTAGATGATGTGGGGAAGGCAGAGCAGTCAGGCTCTAGCAGAGCGAGCCCTACAATCGTAGCAAAAGTGAGCCTCCTTGCTTGCCTGACAGTGTTGTTGTTGACTGTGCTTGTGATTGGATAGGTCGATGTTGACAAGGAGGAAGTCCACAAACGGGTCATGCATGCTCTTGGTATTGCTGATGTTGACCATGAGGAGCTGAAGGTTCTTTCGTGTTTGATTGACAAACATGGGAGGTTTTGACGCCAATTGACAGCGCCGATGTTTGAAGAAGGAAGAGGAGATAGCAGGGAAAGTCACTTTCAAAGATATTTGCAGCGAGGTTGCCAACTATGTCAGCGTGCCGTCTGGCGAGAAGAAATGGAGGTACGCTCTTGCTGCTGAGAAGATGACGACGTGATCATTTATCGTTGTCTTCAGGTTGAAACTTGAGTATCTGAAGAAACTCGACGTGGACGGGTCCGTCTCACAGCAGCCAATGAGTTGTGCGGCTGACAGTCGTCCTCGCAGGTGGTCGGAGTACAGCGAGAACGACCGTCGATTGGTGGGACAATGACTGAACCCTATCACGGGCCTCTTCGTCGGAATGACTGTTGAACCCACCAACAGATACGAGCACGGCTCTCGATCCTTGCACCCACCACGATTGTTGCGAACTCTGAGGATGAAGTGAAGGAATTGAAATCCAGGTTCGCAAGCTTCCATTGCCTGTCGGTGTTTGCTCACACCTGCCTGACAGATACAAAGACAAGTACGCAAAATATGAAGAAACAAACATCAAGTTGAATGACTGGCAAAGACAATTCGAGACTTTGGCCGCTGACCTGTCAAAGTTGGTTTTTGTTTGCTCATGATTTCACCTCTGTGACAATCCGTAGGTCGAAGGACAAGTCAAAACAGGCGCTTCGTAAAGAGATCACTGAGAAGTTTAACAACCTCAAGGTGATGTTGATGCTCCAAAACTTTGGGATTTCAAGAAGATCTCATCATCTCATCATCACCGGCACAGTCATGTTTTCTTTCTAATTTTTTTGTCTAGGTGTCATTGATGGAAACACACACCAAGTTCTTGTTACTGCATGATGAGTTGCTAGCGATCAAGGTTCGTTCTTCTCATCAGTCCCTTTCTGCGTGCAGCCTTGACTTTCGTGTTTCTGCCCAGGAGGCCATTCGAAATTTTTCTGCAGGCAATGGCACCAAGGCTCCTGCATAGTCGGAGCGCCCAAGTAGCGTCGCAATGATCCTCCTTCATGTGAATAAATTAGCACCATTGTTTCGAATCTTTCAAGATTCAGTGGCCCACTACAATCTGCGTGTTATCTGATGATTCAGCTGGCAGTGCTGATTGACTCAGTGTCCCGGCGTGCCAGACCAGCCTGATTCTGACCAACCTGCCGGGACCGCGGCAGCCTGTGAACCGCCTGTCAGGGTCAAGCCTCCTCTACTCGCCTTGTTGTCCTCGTACTGATTGCCGAACACTGAGAGTTTACCTGAAGTAACTTAACTTACGGACTCCGGATTCAAAGTCAAGCACCGTGGCACTGCGGCCGGTCGGGGCAGGGCCCGGGACTCTTCTGAGTCCGATGCGGGACACTGAAAATATGGAGACATGATCCTGCGAGCGTTGAGATGGAGGAGGGAATGCCTGGCAGAGTCGATGCTGGCATGATGCAGGGGAGCGGAGAGGAGATGGACTCCCGAGATGCGATGCCAGGTGGAAAGCTCGATCATGGACGGAGATAGCGCATCGACATGTAAGGGGTACGAGCATAGTCCTCCGAAACTTCAACGCGTCTGCTAGTGGGGAGGGCCTATGAACATGAGAACTTCCATCTCCGCTGCCGCAAGGCTGGACGATGCGATCCTCGCTTCCTGCCCCGACCACAAGAACTCAAGGCTTATCATCGCTAACAGGCAGGGCATAAATCAGATCCGTGCGGAGACGTTGATCATGGCGGCAGAATGGCTGGACGAGAGTACAGAGGGGTACCAGCGATACAGCAACCACCTTCGCAGCATATCCTCCATTGCCATCCGGGAAGACGGCCAGTTCCTCGTCACCTGCTCCAACATCGAAGATTTTTGCATCGTTCACAAGATCAGCCGGTTTGGCGGGAGCCGCCTCATGCTGCATCAGGTCATTGAGACCAAGGAGACTGTCTTGTGCGTTGCGTACGGGGTCTCGGACAATGTCCTCCTGGTTTCCACTGCAGACAAGAGAGTTCGATGCTGGGACCTGCAGGGGAAGGACAGGTTTGTCGTGTCCACAGCTATGGTGCACGAGGCGCGGGTGACAAGCATGCGGTGCTGCCTGCATGCAGTGAAGAGAAAGCGCTTGTTGGGGTGCGTCTGTGCAGACGGAGGCGTGTGGATCTGGGACTACATGAGGCACACGCTGCTCAGCAAGATCGTCCTGCAGCCTCGGAACTTCCCGTTGCCGTCGCCCCTCAAGGAACGGGCGGGGGAGGGAGGGACGTGGAGGGGGCACACAGACGCTGTTGTGCATATCGACTTCTCTGAGGATGGGATGCTTGCAGCAACAGCTAGCAGAGATTCCTCCTGCAAGGTCTGGAACCTCGTCCCCGTCCTCTACGAGGAGGAGGAGGCGGAGAGGCTGTTGTGCATGGGACACGCCATGTTTCTTGCTGAGGTCCAGGAGGCTGTGGAGACTACCGGGGGCTCTGCTCTCCTATCCACTGACCTCCATCACTTCGGGCCCTGTACAAGTTGCTCCTTCCTCCTTCTTCAGGGCAGACAGCTCCTCGTCACCGTCTCCGAGGACGGTTCTTGTGTCGGGTGGTACCCAGAGAGCGGAGACAAGGTTTTCAAGATCTGCATGCTGGGCGGAAGGAGAATCAGATTGCTGGAAGCTCAGCAGTCAGCAAGGCAGGACTCTCTTTCCTCCTCCTCCGTGCTGTTACACTTCACCGTCGGCAAGTGGCTGCTCTCAGTCAAGTTGGAGCAGGGCAAAGGCGATGCAGGAGTTGCAGGATCTCTCAGCCAGTTTGAGGAAGAGCGGGAGGATGTGGAGGACGAGGAAAACAAGGAGAAAGGAGGAGTGAGAGCGGCAGGACAGACCATGAATTGTTTCGACTGCCCCTGGCTTGTCATTCTCCGCCAGCAGTTCATACAGGCTGGGATCCAACTGAAAGAGATCCCGTGGCTCCTTTCCTCGCAGCTCCTTCCTGCTTGGCTCCTCCTTGAAGTCCTCTTGCATGGTGTGGGTCTGACTCCCGGGAACAGAACTTCCTTCAGATCCTCTCTTCTTACGCTAGGAATCTCTGCAAGCTCTTTCCTCGCCCTCGTCGCCGTCCGCTGCTCTACCGACAACCTCTCCAAGTACATCCTCATGATCTTCGCCAACGCAAACCCTGTTCGTCGAGATGGGACCAGGTGTCGAACTCTCCAACCTACCGTGTCCCCAACCCCCTTCCTTCCCTGAGCCTGATGTTTCTCCTTCTTTCATTTGCCTCTCCCTCTCTTCCCTTCCTCTCTGCCGTCACTCCGTCTCTTTCCTTCCTCTCCCATCCTCTCCCCGCTCCATGGCTTCCTCCTTATCGACTTTCTCTCCTCCCTCTCACGTTATCAAGATCACGATACTTTCTTCCTACCCTCCATCCACTCTTTTCGCGTCTTCCTGTCTCCTCTGACTCAGCAAGCAGACTGGATCTTCCAGGGGTGAAGACGATCTCACAGCACATCGAGCAGGAGCAGGAGAGGGCGAGTCTACAGAGCGCCACTTATAACAGCGTGAGGGGAGCGAGCCAAGTAATCGACACGGGCCTGAGAAGCTGCATCTCCTTCTACCCCTGGCCGGGCATGGGGAGCATCCGAAACCTCGCCTACGTCAAGCAGGGGGACTTACTCGGGTCCTCCTCCTCGCCCATCGACAAAGTCCAGGTGGAGGCGACGCACCTCAGCAGGCTGTCGCAGCGATCAGGGGCGGAGGAGCTGCTAGCCTCGCTGCAGTCGATGAGAGCACTGGACGGAGAGGACAGTCGGATGCGTCGTGACGAGTACCTGGAGGACATGACCAGCCCGGGCATGACCAAGGTGGTGAAGGAGATCTTGCAGGAGGAGGAGGCGAACTCGCACAGGAAGCGAGAAGGAAGCAGAATCGTCTCATACTATCCCTCCTCCTCGCCCAGGAGCCGAGTGAATGTCGCTGCTGCGGCAAGGAAGGCAGCTGCCACGTCATCCTCTGCTCCGTCGGACAAGAGCTGGAGCTCTCGTCCGAAGAAGGTGGTGGAAGTCAAGATGAACAGCCTGCCGACCTTCGGAGGAGGCGAGGGGCTGGCTTCATCGTTGGAGGGCGAGCAGAGCAACCGCAACGGTGAGAGAAGGAGAGGAGGATGCGAGGGAAAGTGAGAGCTCAGCAGATTCTCTTTCTCTCCGGACGAGGAGCAGACAGGTGACGGATGGTGGTGGTTGTGTTGTTGTTGTTGTTGTTGTTGTTGTTGTTGGTGGTGGTGGTGGTGATGACGATGACGATGACGACGACGACGATGATGATGATGATAATGATGATAATGATGATGATGATGATGATGATGATGATGGCAAGTGAACGAAAAAATCAAACCTGTCTAACAATACCTGCACCTTGCAGATCATTGAGACCCCCAAAGACGTGTTCTCCCTTCCACTTCGTGTCTTCACACCTCCGTGATCAATCCCCTTCTCTCATCTCTTCCAGCTCATCACTGGCCGCATGCAGGATGGGAAGAGAAAGCATCAATAGGACTAACGAGCCACCTACTGAAGGGTGCGGCGCCCCTGCTCCAAAACCTTCTTTCACTTTTCCTGCTTTCTGTCCAGCCTGGCCTCTTCTCTACTTCCCTTCTTACCACACTCCTCTCCTCTCCTTTCCTCTCCTCTCCTCTCCTTTCCTCTCCTCTCCTCTCCTCTCCTCTCCTCTCCTCTCCTCTCCTCTCCTCTCCTCTCCTCTCCTCTCCTCTCCTCTCCTCTCCTCTCCTCTCCTCCCTGATTTCATCGGCAGGATGTCGCTGGGGTTGTCCTTTGATTACATCAACGTGGACTCTAGCTTGCTTGGCATTTCCCAAGTATCATCGAAGGGCGAAGGAACGAATAATCCTCCTCATCCTCCTCATCCAAACTCAGCATGGAAACAACCCTCTCGAATTTCATCTCTCCTCACAGGTCCAAGTTCCCCCCGCCTAACTCCCTCCCTTCAACTCTCCCTCCCAAGTTCCCCCCGCCTCCCTCCCTCCCTTCAACTCTCCCTCCCTTCCTCGTCCCCTCCTCCTCTCCTTCCTTTACATCCTTGCCCATCCTGCATTGCTTCCTTATCCTTCTCTCCTCGCCCTGCTCCAAGTGGCTGTGTATGTGGTTTTCCCTCTCCTGCTCGCTGACTCCCTGCTGCTGCTGTTTGACTCTCCTGATTGTTCAGCCTCTCCTAAGCACCGGGACTTGCCGTCCTTTGACAAGGGAGAAGCGACAACGGACGGTCGACCCTCCTCGGGCCTTCAGGGCCTTCCTGGTCTTCTCCTCTTCTTCATGCCCGATATCACGTACGGTCTCTTTCCGTCTCTCCTTCTTCCCCTTCGTCATCACCTCGTCTTCCTCTTTCCTCTCGCTCTTATCCCTCAACCCCTCCTCCTCTTTCGCTCCTATTCTTCACTACCTCCTTTACTCTAACCCTCCCCCTCTGTGTTTGATTGGTTCGCTCCTGCCATAGGAATCATCGTGAAACTCTGCTCACCACTCCTCGTGTCCGCCGCAACTCCGACTCTGTGCGGCTTCGTCGGCATTCCTCGTCCAGCATGCAGTCCAGCACGCAGTCATCCCCTCTGAGGAGCGCGAGGGGCCCGTCGACTCTCTCGGTTGCCTCGTCGCTCTTTCCGGTGTCATGTGACGACATGGCAGGCCCAACGGGATGAAGGTAAAGAGGAGGAGGAGGGGGTACAGACATACTTCTGCTTTCAGTCCTGTCTGTTCAGGTGCCTGCTCCTCCGTCATATCTACCTCCCTGATCGTTATGCTCGCGCAGACAAGAGCTTGAGCAACCGGACATTGCAGAGAGGGCACAGGTCGTGCTTTGCTCGGGCATGCGTTCTGTTCCGATCTTTAGCAGCAAGTGAGGTTGAGCTGCTTGTTTACCATCGTTTGCATTTTAGCTTTATTCATTCATTCAAGAAACAAAATGTCTGGTATCAACACCTGGATGAAAAAGAAAATGACTTGACCACAACTTGATATCTCTGAGAAATCATACATGAACATGTGAGACAGAGCAAAGTGCAGTGAAGACTTCATCGCATCACGATGGTTAAAATCCACCCAAAACAAGGATGTGAAGAAAAAAACGAAAAAACTTGCTGGGTGAAACCAAACAAAATAGGAAAAGAGGGAAAACTGGAAAACTCAAAAACGGATCAAAAAATTGTACTCCTGACGTGGTGAGCATCTTGATCCTGGAACTTCAGATGCTCGAGGAGCGACTCTGCCATCAAACGTTGACATTGATCGTAGGGCCCGCGAGGGTCTTGAGCCCGAGGCTTTCGGCGTTGAGCATCAGGTGCTCGCTCAGCATGTTGAGGTGGGTCAGGCCAGCAAGCATCCCGATGTCTGTCTGGATCGGTTCTGCTCCAGCGATGATCCAAGAGCCAGAGTGAATGGGAGTGAAGGCAGAGGCTCCGATGAAGGCTTCGGGGTGAGGAACGAGGCTGGGCTGAACGGTCGGCTCCTCCCTGTGGATGATGGAGTCGATAGAGGATCCCTTGCTCTCAGTGGACGACGCCTGGGCCTTGATCGACTTCTGCTGCTCGTGCTTTACTCGTCGTCGATACCTCTTGCAGTGGAGGTGCTGCTTCTGACAGACCTTCTTCACGCAGCAGCATTGCACGCGGCAGATCGCACACGACCAAGGGCTTCCGGCCTCAGCTTGCTGTACCAGGTGGTTAACATAAAGCCAGGAGAAAGGGTCGCCATCATACCGGTTTGTCCTTCAAGTGCCTGACGCAGCATTTCTCGCAGAACACTTGATCACAGGAAGTGCAGGAGAGGCTGATGCAGCGCTTGGGAGCGTGCTCGCAGAAGTGGCAGTTCTTGTTTTTCCGTTAGTGGATGTCATCTATTCGTCGCAACCAATCTCATACAACGTTGGGTGATTGCAGCTGAAATAAAGCTGATAGTGCTGAATCTGAATCGGTATTGAGCCTTCAAAAACCTGCGCGGTCAGGTCAGCCTACCACACATACATCACGTCACAAATGTCAAAAGAAAGCATCTGAGGAGGAGGGTGAGCATGTGTAAAGGATCCTAAGAAAGCAATGCATGATGATGGGCCGACCTAATGCTCCACTTGAAGGAAAAAACAACAAAGGAAGAAACCAAGGAGTCAAGGGGAAGCAGGATGTAAAGAGCAGTGGTGCCACTACGGTGCTCGGATTTGCGAAGGCATGCAGGCAACAGGGAAGATGTAAAAGGGAAGTAAGTTGGAGGATCGTGCAATATCAAGAGATGAGATGGGCGAAGAAGGAGAGAACAGGCCGGGCAAGGGAAGACGAGAAGGAAAAGTCGTTCTCTGTAGACGAGGAGGGAGGATGAAGATGGGGGAACGAAAGGGAGAGTAGTGTGGGGGGATGGGCGGAGACTGGGGGAGGAGGAGTATCAGAGGTTAGGGGGCTAGGGGTTGGCAGAGCAAGAGGGTGGGGGTAATAATTTTACCTTCCTGTGAGTGACTAGTAGTGAGGGGTCTGTTCTTTATTTCTAATGAGTATTATAAAATACGAGAGATGTAATGGGTAGAGGGAACATCGCTCCATAGCTGTTCATATCTGTGGGGGTGGGTTCTATGTGAATTTTGGGGTGGTGGGTAGGTACAGTGAACATTCCCCCGAATTTGACCTTCGCCTAGCTGGTCAAAAATTCTGGTACAATATTATAAATATATAAAGTAAGCTATATTGTTTAATAAGTATTTATGACATATTTACATATCTATATATATATAGACTTTTCTTCAAAACGATTGGCATTTTAAGAAATTCAAGAACAAGTTTTTTCAAACATGATTTCGATATAAAACCCTTTAATTGAACTATCTGTATATCAATATTAATAATTGTTTTATTTGTCTATCAGGAAATGGATTTAAAAAATATTTGATTTTATATTTGTTTTTAAATTCATCCCGGTCACGTTACTACCCTACCCACCGTTCCCTACCCCACCTTTCCCAACGGCTCTTTGGTCCAAAGTACCCGGGTTTTCACCACAGAAATATAGATCCAAGCACCGGTATCTTTCATACCCACCTCTGTTGTGCATTTCATAACCCCTCCCCCAAACGCTATCCTTCCCCAATATTCAGGAGGCCCCCTACTGCTCTTTCTAGGACCTAGGTAATAGTTGTATAAGCGATAAATACTCACTAGAAGGTATACCTGCCTAGGACCAGTTTTGGTCTGAGGTCATAGCTGAAGTCCTAGTGAGGTTCTAGCATCAAGCCTTTACCTGCTCCCTCCCCTACTATATGGGGGGATTCTCGCGTTCATATCATTCCTAGCACCGTTCTACTGTATGCCCGTAGGACCCATGGCTATATGAGTGCTTGGGAGAAAGCTCTAGGGGGCTCATCATCATCAAAACGTGGCGTTCCCCATATTTTTCGAAATATATTCAATCATACTCCTATCAAAATTGAATTTTCATCCTAAGTTTTGGGTGAAACAAAAGGTAAAGAGAGCTAGCATGGTCAGTCGGGTCGAGGTCGAGACTTGTACCCGAAGGTACATGTGGGGAGGAGGGTCACGAGTCACCAGTGACTCGGACTCCGGGACGGCCCAGTGCCGTCTTAGAGCACTCAGTCGTTCACTCTAATGTGTTAACGGTGCGGCAGTGACGCCGGGGACTCCTGGGGACCATCGGACGCGCGCGGCCATTTGGACTGAGTCCTGCTGAGACCCACCGTGACATTTCTCCGAGAACTTTCATTTCATGGATCGCCTTCAAGTACTCCACAGTGACTCAGTTAGCTGAGGATCATGTTGGTTTGAATCACGGTTATTGAAGCTTTCCTCCTGAGAGTCTCTCTCCTCCTCCTGCTCTGCTGCCGCCCCCGCCACATCGTAGTAGCTCCTTGTTGGCTACCTTGAAGGAGGAGTCCGCAGCCTGTTGGAGTGAGTCAACTTGAATCATGAGAGCGGAGCATAGAGAGTAGCCCACGAACCTTGGAGAGAGGGTGATCGCTGCCCAGGATTGATGTTCGGATCGCAGCAGCTTCCTTGAAGAGTTTCAATGCTTCTGTGACAAGAGTCAGTCGCCCCCTCCTCCACAATTGCAATCAGGGCCCCGCTCCTGCTAGCCGTTTTTCCCTGTGACTGCCCGACGAAGAGGAAGTGTACAGGCATGCCAAGTCATGGGCAGTAGACGCAGTAAGCAGATGCCTGCGGGGCAGATCAGACCAATGGGACATGTGGGCAGGTCACGACTTGTTCCCAAGGTCCATTCGTCGGATCTTTAGTGCACACTGCATCGTTTTGATCGCTTCTTCGTCCTCCCCCCTGCAACCATACCATCAAGCTTGAAGCAAAGACTCAGAGAGTTCAACTTGTGGTGCAGACAGCAAGCCAAGTTGTGTTCGATGTCCGATGCCACTGAGCTTCCCCGACAGTTTCCCAACAGGTTATATCGACACCTGGGATGAAGCGGTCAGCGATTCAAAAAGATGCAGCGTTGTTCAAGACTCTTACTTCTGTGCGAGCCGCAAACACTTCTCAGCTTCATCATGCATGTCTTCTCCAATCAGATGTATTAGGGAGAAAGAAGACAAAAGATGCCTTCCAACCTTGTCGAACATACAAGAGCGCCTGCCATGACCAAATATTAACGGAGTTCACATACACCCGCAGGAGACTCGCCTTATTCACCAGCAATGATGGAACTGCCTCGCACTCTTTCCCGACCTGCTCATCTAACATCTTCCGATGCGGCTCAGTCATCGTCACATCTAGCTGCAAGTCTGATGAATTCACCTTTCTTGCTAAGTCGTATGACTTGTGTGCCGAGACAAAATTCCGCAGGGCTCCATGGCAGTTTCCGAGTCCCAGCAGGATGTTGCAGAGCTGGAGGAACACGTCACCTTCGCCGCTGAATGTAAAAGTCTCCCTGCCAGAAAAGGGCGTTTCTCCTTGCACGATCGATACATCTGTAGCGCCTGCGTGATTGTTGACAGTGATCTCTGCACTCGGCGTCATCCCGCGCCTCTGCTCCTCCTCCCCGACCTCGTAGTCCCCAACGTCGTACTGAGCCAACGCCAGCTCGTGAAGAGCCTCGCACAAGGGAATGTTGTTGTCGCCGTAAGCGTTCTTGGAGAACTTCACCTGCTCTTGTCTTACCTGGCGGTCTGAGGAAAACAGTCCATGAGCTCACCACATCTTCTCTCCTTCGCAGAGCTTCTGCCAACCTCCCCTCTGAAGCCGACAGCTCAGCATGATGCCTTGCCGCGGCAATTGCAGCTTTCAAGCTGACTTCGACGTCATGCCGAGCATGTTGGGGTGTAGTATCGAGCTGTAGTTGTTTATGGCATTTGGTGAACAAGCTAGAGCTCCGCACGCCTACTTTGCTGCCGGCATGCTCTCTGCTCTCCCGCATCAATGCCTGAGGGTCAAGTAAGTGAAGTCAGTCAGGTGCGAGAGGTCGTGCAGACAATTAGCTCTCCAAACCATCTACTTGGATCTGACATGAGTCCGACACGAATATCCAACTCTACGTAAATCATCCCTCACGCTAATTTCCGTGGTCTAGTCACAGAGACCAACTGAGCGCAAGAGTTTCAAGCTCATCTCTCTGTCTCAATGCCGCATCTACTGCATGCATGCATGCTGGCTGACCCACTAGCTAGACAAGAAGCTCCGATTGTCGGTGCCGGCATGGCCATGCGGGAAGTTTGAAAATTGAAAAAAAAAGTCACTTGATTGACGGATGACAGATTGATGACAGGGCCTCTCTCAGATTCAGGCTCCGGCGAGAAAAGGCGCGGCCCCCGGGCCCTGCCAGACCGTCTGACTCAGTGACAGCCTGGCGGCTGGCTTTGGCTTCACAGCACAGTGAGTTGGAGTCATCGGGGCCGCCGGGCCGCGCGGCCGCCTGTCACCGTGGGGCCACGGGCTCCCGGCTGACACGGTGAGTCCCCGGTCCCTTCAAGAGTTCAACAGTCAGGCCGGGCTGGGCCGGGCAAAGTTTGCCACGTGAGGCCCGGCGGGATGGTAAAACGGTACTAGGGAGGGAGTGAGCTGAGTCACCGGTGGCAATCCGAATGCCCGGCCATGATTGAATCCCGGCGATAGGGACTGATGGACTGCGCGGTGCTCTACACTGAAACACTCGATCGGACCGTACGCCGGTTATGGTCACATGACAGTCCGATCAACGGTTGCAGGCGGACTCAGGCTTTAGAGTAAAGTCTGATCTTCTATTATCAGGAGCGTTTCACGCGTGGCCCAGAGGTCCAGATTCCCAGAACCTGTTTGAAATATATTTCAAATATACATATTTTTAAATGTGAAATTGTCACGATCGTGTCACGGTCTTTTCCCGCCCGAGCCCGTCGTTTGCATTGGGTGGTATAGGAAGGGTTAGATATTTTCTGAATACCATCATGTGTATTGCGGCATAGAATGGAGCTTGGGCTAGGCACATTTACGGTCCGGTAAGTACCCCACCCCCTGATTCTATCGGTGGGCCCCTGGGGGGGTTCAACTGCCCTGCTGACAAACTCGACCACAACGGTTCAAAAACTGGACCTTTGGGAATAAAATTCTCTTTTATGCCATTGGTCCAGATTATTTCAAATTTATTGAGTAAAATTAGTACCACGGGATCTGGGAATCTGGACCTCTGGGCCACGCGTGAAACGCTCCTCAGAGTTGTCAACACCCAGGTGACCTCCCTCTATATTGGTCCTTGTAAAAAAGAGTCATCGTCACGAATTCCGAGTACCCCTCATTATGACTGCCTTGCATGGGGTGACAACAGCTCGTGGGGAAGTATGTTTGGGGAAAGTGCCATTGCAAAACATGGAGCCCGTGGAGAGGCGAGTGGATAGACGAGGGAGGAGGGAGGAGAGGGAGTTGCGACGCAGTGTGGAGGTTAGGGATAAGACTGACAACCATGAAAAGTTGGGCAACAGAATCTTCCTTATAAGCGCATGACATTGCACAAAACAATGGATTCAAACAACTCTGCTCGTAGCTCATGCAGCAACCATGACATGGAAATAACAGTTTCCACACAGTTAGACTCTTCCGTACAGAACATTCCAATGTACGATTCAAGTGGCCGGCTATATGAGCAAGAAGAGTATGCTTCTTGCTTCGTCCGGATGTACACCCAGCATCCTGGCGACTACATGCAGCGATGCCTGGAGAAGTGGGTCACCTTTCAGAAGCGACCCTCTCTCATACTCTTCTCCAAGGACCCGATCTCAGCTGCGTTGTCCCTCATGGGCTTTCAGTGCTTGCTCTTCGTTGGGGGCTTCGCATGGATCTTGACTGTTGCGTTCAAAGTGAAAGAAGTGCACCGGCCGGGTTACTATGCATACTTGATGGAGGAGAGGTTTCGGCAGTTCTCAATGACCGACATGAAGGAGATCGAAAAGCGTGGATGTGGATGGGAGTCGTTCTTAGAGCTGTTCGCAAACTGCTGGGTGGGTCTCGTAGCCATGGCAGTAAGTGTGCTGAGCCTGGTGAGTACGAGGCTAGCAAAGCAGGTGAGATGAAGAGAGGTGTAGGGCGGGACCGAGGATGTTTGACTTCGCCTGTAGATCATCATAATCGGCGGATTAATTCATGCAACGGCCAGCCTGTGTGTATTCGCAGAGATGGTGCACAGCGGCAAGAGGAAGTCGGTGATGGGGATGTCGTCGCACGTTTTCTTGATCTCGACATTGACGGTGAGGAACGAAGGCGAAAAAAGGAGACGAGAGATTGACAAAAATGTGTGTTTGCAGGATATGCTTGTGTTCCCCTTGCCTCTGATCCGATGGGAAGCTTATGCGATTGAGCTTGTAATGGTGGGATCGCTCATTGAGTTTGTTAGTGCATGGGTGGACAACTCGTTGCCGTACAAGATTCTGCCGATCTTGATTCTATCGGGAGCGTCGCTAGGGATGCGCGAATTCATCAGGAAAAGATCCTTGTGCAGGGTGAGAGAGATGCAGGAGCGGTTTGAGGAGGCATGGAGGCAGCTGAGAGATCTTGAAGGGATACAGCAGCTGAAAGAAGTTGTTTCGCAAGCAATGCTGCGGTCGAAGGCAATTCAGGGTAGAGGAGGAACAGGAGAAGTAGCCTCGCTCACGTGGTTGAGAAGGCAGTCTCTGCTTTCATCTTCATCGTTGCTGCCCGTGTCGTCGGAGCCGAGCATGATTGTTAAGTTTGCCAGGGAGCTTCAGGAGAAGGATCTCGACCAGCTGTACGCTCAGGCGGTGCTGCTCCAGCCCATGTTCTTAAGCAAGGTGCAGGCATGGGCAGAGGCAAGCGACGGCTACTTCCTGATGAGCACGCCTTCGGGGCAGAGGAAGCACTACATCCGATGGCGAGACTTCAAGAATGACATCTCGTGTGCGCCTCGGATCAAGTGGGCGTCGATCAAGAACGCCAACCGAGCGATCGAGAAGATCCTGCTGCTGGGCGGGGGGGACACGTCCATTCTGACAGATATTGTGCGGCAGACGATCATCTTCCTGGACGTGCATCAGCTCTGCGCCTGCGTCGACCTGATCATCAACGACCCAGAGGTGGAAGTGGTGAGGATCAAGAACCGGCTTGACCCCAGCTACAACGCGTCGTCGTCTGGGGGATACCGAGACGTGGGGCTGAACTTGCGGGTGATCCACGAGGGGGCGAAGGGCTGGGGAGTAGCTGGGCACATCTGCGAGCTTCGGCTTGCGGTGCGGTTGCTGCATGTGCTCGTTGACAGCAAGGGTCATGCGCTCTATGTGTCGATGAAGCACGTGCTTCGCTTCAGAAGATCGTCGGAGTGGTGGACAAGATCGGATACAGAGAAGAAGGATGGTAGGGACATCATGAGGAAGAGGCGATCGTCTGGGTCGTCCGGGGCTGCGGAAACTCTGCTGCCAACGCACATGTCCAGCTCGATAGGCTTCTCAAAGTCGCTAGCACAGGAGAGATCGGACATTGCGCTGTTGATCTACAAGAGCATGTATCCCGGCAACATCCTGGACAAGTATCTGTCGTCGTCTGGGTATGGCGTGTCGAAAGCAGACACGACTAGCGTGCTGTACTCGTCGCATCCGCTCAAGAACGTGCTCCACAAGACGTCGTTCCAAGTTCTGCTGCTGCTCGTGGGGGGCGTGCTTTTCTATCTCTACATGAACAATTTCAATTATGTTTCAGTGTTTCAAGGCCGAGCGGTTTATCTGAGGCACTTGAAGTGTGGATTCGAAGGCTACTCCAACGCCTCTGCTTGGGCTGATGCTGACGTGGCGATCCAGGACTTGGCTGCGGTAAAGGATACATGTCGGGAGTACATGTGGACCTCAAGCAAAGTGGCTGGAAGCAACATCTTCTTTTCATTTCCTCCGAACACGTTTGTCAATGGCGTCAAGTTTACGCTGACGCCACACCTGAAGTCTTATCTTAAGTCCTCGAGGCTCTCATGCGACTACACCTCCGACGGGAAGATTGACGACCCAACGAGAGCAAAAGAGGGATGGAAGCCGCTCTTTACGGTCGAGAGTTGTCAAGATGGTCTTGGTCTTCCTTTCTGCCGGGCAGACTTCTCTCCTCGCATCGATGAGTCTCTTCTTGTGGACCTCCGTTTCACATGGCGCGTCACGTGCAACTTCTTACTGGCCGTGCTGCAGGTCTTTGGCTGTCCTGGATCCGCGATCCTCGCGCGCTTGAAGAAGATTCATGCAGCCAAGACCGTGTTTGCGTCTGCTTTCCATGTGGTAGGACTCATCGAATTCTTCTTGGCAATGTCACCCGAGGAAAACAGGCAGGCATACTACCTAGTGTGGTCGGTCATGGACCTTTCGATGGGGCTGATCCTTCAGTTTCAAGAGCGTTACATGATCAAGGGATTACTTGTTTACAGCGTGATCACGTCGTTTCTTCCTGCTGCTGCTCAATATAGGTTGGACTTTTCTCAGATTATGTGGTGGGACATCGCAATGAGCAGCGTTGGGTTGCTGGGGCTGGTGATCTTGTTTACGTTGCACAGACAATTCATCGTCTTCAAGTCTCGATGGCAGATCAGTGGAGATATGAAAAAGTACAATCAATGTTGGTTGAACATCTTTTCTCGGGATGGTGCCGGTGAGGTGCTGAGGTCGCTCAAGCTCATCTGCGAGCGCGTGAGGCCCAAGCAAGCTCTGCAGTTGAAAGTCTTCGATGCCTCATGTGCATTGGAATCGACTATTCTAGACCCACTTGCAAGCATGCTCAAGAGTCAGAAGGACAACAGCTTCTCAAAGACGTACCTGAAGCTTTCAAAGAAGAACGGCAAAAGTCAGGAAAGGGAGATCGTGTCGCTCGACCAGCTTTATGCTCAAGCGATCCTGCTGGAGCCCATGTTCTTGAGCAAGGTGCAGGCATGGGCAGAGGCAAGCGACGGCTACTTCCTTGGGAGAGATGGGAGGCTTGTGCGATGGCGAGAGTGCGTTGAGGATGAAGCAAACAGACTCGAGGTCAAGTGGGCGTCGATCAAGAACGCCAACCGAGCGATCGAGAAGCTGGTCAGGTCTTACTTCGGGAGAATTGCCAAGCTCACCGACGTGCTACGGCAGACGATCATCTTCCTGGACGTGCACCAGCTCTGCGCCTGCGTCGACCTGATCATCAACGACCCAGAGGTGGACGTGGTGAGGATCAAGAACCGGCTTGACCCCAGCTACAACGCGTCGTCGTCTGGGGGATACCGAGACGTGGGGCTGAACTTGCGGGTGATCCACGAGGGGGCGAAGGGCTGGGGAGTAGCTGGGCACATCTGCGAGCTGCAGCTCCTGCTGGAGGAGTTTGCGGCTCTCAAATCGACGGACGGGCACAAGAGATACGTGAACTGGAGAAACTCGCGGTGCGAGTAAGAGCAGAGGAGCTCACGCCCTTCGACTCGTGTGCGATGGCTCGCGGAGCTTGACGGGTCTCTCACGATCTCGTAGGGTACGAGTCAAATTCATGGATTGGTTCCTTGAGCAGCGGTGGGCCTGGAGGTACAAGATACTTGCCTGCAGGACGATTTTGCTCTAGCCAACAAGAGCAGCTGACCATCAACGGGCGCTCAGGAGGAAGTCACTTGCTTGTATGGTGAACCTGGTGGAAGGGTCAGTCAGGATATCGAGGAGGGGACATCGAGGACTGAAGAGGGAGGGCGTGTAGTAGGATGCCATACCAGACTGCTTGCTGTAGAACTTGGAGGCGATGGCGATGGTCATGTGAGTTGTACGAATGAAATTTGAAATGCAATTGAACATGAGTAACGAGAGAAGAACTGAATAATATCCTGCATCGAAGAGGCGCGTGCACTGAGATATCGTTCGAATCGTACCCCCACCCCCGCCTCCCAGCCCCGACGAGCCTCCAGCAGCCCACGGGCGTGGCCTCAGGGGAGCAGCAAGCGACGCTAGGGTGGTAGCATCTAGCATGACGAAGCCTGATTGAATGATCATCGTAAGTAGATAGAAGCTTGAATGTGCTGATTGAATGATCATCGGTGACTGAGAGCGTATGTGAGGGTATCAGTTGTCTGGGCTCACTCGTGACATGGGCAAAGCACAACGTTGTACTCCAGTATACAGGATCGAGCAGACATTCAGAGAACGTGTATGAAGAGCATTGTTACTAGGCAAGCAAGCGCGATAGCAAATAACAAAGATCGTCCGCGCCGTCTCAGTCGCCGACGATCATGGCATCGCCGCACGCTGAGCTGCCGAGCTGGATCTAGTCTCCCGAGGCTAGAAGGGCAGGGAGGCAATCAGCAAGGGTGGGCGAAGAAAAGAGCATGGGAGCCTTGGACATGGTAGCGTCGTAGCAGCAGACAGGAGAGAAGCAAAGAAGCCGAGAGGGGTCTTTGAGGGATGGTATCAGATCAGAGCAGTCGAGCTGAGCAGTCTGACGGCAGGCAGGGTGCCGTGCGGGCAGGAGGGAGCTAAAAGGTAGGAGAGGGGCAGGGTCGGGCTAGGGGCGAAGAGAATAAGAGGGTTAGCAGGAGGGGCTGACTTGACTCGTTCCCGTCACGGCTGTGTGCGAATCATGCAGTCACGGCATCAGTGTCACTGAATGGTCATGTCGAATTCACTTGTGGGGTCCGGGTACAGACTTGCTGACAGGCACCCACTTGAATCACTGTGGTTTTGACTCTGACCATCAAAAAGGCAACTCATCGTGCTCTAGCCAGCTAAACGTTGACGTGACATAAACCGAACATGACTCCTTTCACTTCCCCAGGGTCGTTGGTAGCCCCTTGATGGGTGAAACAGTTTCGTTGTTGCACGGTCCCCCCAAAAGCGACTGCTTGTCCTCCCTCCTTACTTCTCCTCCCCACGCCCAGAAGCTCCCGCCCCTGCCCCCTCCCAAGCCTTCCCTTTGCCATCTCCCGATGTCCTCCCCCCTTGTCAAAGGCGTACTTGTGCACGCTCGCCCCCGTCACTCCAGACAACGTCAGACCGTACGGCTCGACTGGATCCAGCTCTCGCAGCTCTTCCATCTCAAGCAGACGGAGGCTGCCGACTATCTCGGCATCTCTCTGACCTCTCTCAAAAGCGCCTCTCGCAGGCTCGGCCTTGAGCGATGGCCCTACCTCCGCGACCGCTCCCTCGCCCACCCGCCCCCGCCCCCCAGCCCTCGCTCCGACCCCGCGCCCCCGACGAGCCTTCAGCAGCAGCAGCCTGAGCCAGCCCCGTCCCACGCGCCCTACAGCAGGCAGGACCCTGCAGACGAGCATACGGGTCAAGCGACGCAAGCGACCAGCTGCGAGGCTGGCTGGTCGCCGGCAGAGGGGCTGAGCCGGGACTTTGTGCTACTGTTCGGGTCGTTACCTCTGGACGAGGAGCTTGAGGGGTGTGGAGAGGAGTGGGTGTACGAGGTATGATGAATAAAGCTGCTGTACTGTACTGCATCACGAGCGGTATGTGTGCGTGAGGGGAGGGAGGGGTTGGTGAGTGGGCTACGAAGGCTCAGCGCGGCTAGGCTGCACCATCAGTCCACGTCAAGGGTGTGGAGGTTGGAAGTCGTTGGAAGAGCCGGACTTGAGAGTGGGTCATGTGAACTGTTCTCTTTCCTTATTCATCACAGTTTGTCCTCCTCTGTTCCTCCACTGTCTGGCCCTCTACTCTCCCGTTCCCCTCCTCCCCCACCCACTTTCGCTTTCCCACCCTTTTCCCACCCCCTTTTCCACCCCACCCCCCGCGCTCGTTGCCTTTTGAACCGATCGCTCCCCGATAGTCGTAGCGCCGGGAGGATGCCATGGCGACGGCTGGTCCTCCTCAGAGCCGCTGTGCTGACATGCGGCATCGGCAGAGTATGCGGTGGTTTCCTTCCTGTCCCTCCTGCCAGCGTGTCCCTACGGCGACAGATCCGTCCTCTGCCATTGCGGGGGCTATCGACCAGACAAGCCATGAACCCTTGCATGCTAGCGAGGAGACTGTTTGTCGGGGGCATAGCGAAAGACGCGGAGGAGGAGGTCCTGAAGCAGCTTCTCTCGCAAGTCTGTTGGAAGTGCTGTGTACTCTCAGGCCTGCTGATCTTGCTTCCTTACAGTTCGGGCACGTGGAGAGCGTTGAGATGTACAATGCTCGCAAGTTCGCCTTCGTCACGATGGGCTCTGAAACCTCAGGTGGTACAGGGATGCAGAGGAGAGAGGATGCTCATATATTCCAGCTCAACATGCCCGTCAACAGTACCAACAGAACCCCTCTGCCTTCTCCCATGTTTGCTCCTTCTTGGATTTTGCCAAGGAAAAACCTCTAGACGGTTAGCTCGCAGCGGAGGCGATCTCTTGTGTTGAACTTGCCATGCCGCCAGGTCGCACTGTCCCTGCAAGATCATCAGAAGCTGATCTCGCTGACATCGGCATCTTGATCCCCAAGTCACATGCGGATCGGGTAGGAGAGAGTGTTGTTGCATGCTGGTCGCAGAGCTGAAGGAGAGCAGATCGTGTTGTACATCCGAGACTGCTATGATCTCCTCCCAGTGAGGGTTTCTGGTAGCTCGATAGCATCTTTTGACGTTTTCTTCATCCTCACGGTCGATGCATCAGGAAACTCGGATCTTGTTCATTTCTTGAGTCAAGATGGGTATGAGGAGGAGGATGTTGAAAGGATCGCGACAAGGAAGGATTGTCTTGCTTTCTTCCGAGCGCCCTCGTGCGTTCTTCCTCCTCCCTGCCTCTCTCCCTCCTCATGATGACCTGTACCAGCGATACACAAGCATTTCAAATGCTGTCACAGGACGACCTGCTGCAGGGTCTGATGCAGAGGTTGTTCCTGTTCGACTCGGCACACAGCAGCTTGCTGGTGACCTTCCTTGTTCCACTGGCTATCAGCTGTCTGACTGATGTCTGCTAGGAGGCAGTGAACAACCTCGCTCAGCGATGCCATGCTCTCTCTATCGACCTCGTTCGCGTTCACTGCTTCCCATCCCAGGTTGGAATGCACCGGTGAACCAGTCAAGTTGAGGATGACGCGATGCAGATGCAGACAAAGATCATCTCGATGTTGGAAGGCCAGAACATCAACCAATCTCCAACGCTGTGAGATCATCAGATGTCTCTTCCTTCCCCTTCCCACCCTCCTTACTCGTGCGTTCCGCTCTGTCCCCCGCTCCCCCGCATCCCTCCTCCTTGTTTCCAGTCTACCCTCCATGTTTCTGGCTCCTTCGTTATTCTCATGCTTCACCGTTCTTCCAATTCACTTCCATCCTTGTCATGGTCTTGCAGGTACTCGTGTATCGTGTACCTCTCCCTCAGTGAAACCGGTAAAGGAGAAATCTGATCATCCCCTGACACCTGCTCCCTTGTCTCTGCTCCTGCTCCTCCTCCTGTTCCCTGGTCTCTGCTCCTGCTCCTGCTCTTGCCCCTGCTCCTGCTCCTGCTCCTGCTCCTGCTCCTGCTCCTGCTCCTGCTCCTGCTCCTGCTCCTGGACTCGATCGTCATTCCACGACGTCATCCTTATTTCCTTCAGGATGGTGGCATGTCGGCCTCCTCCCTGTCGCTTCGCGCCTGCAGCTCTCGCATCACGAGCGCAGCAGGGGCATCCTTTCCCGCGCCTACCACAAGCTCCGTGAGGCCTTGCAAAGGACGGGAAAGAGTGTTCCTCCGAACGCCATCGCCATTGACGGAGGAGCATCACCTGTCCGGCCCTCCTCCCTCCTCCCTTCTGCTTCTCCCTCCTCACTGTTCTCTCTCAACCCTCCACCCTCCTTCCTGTTCTCCCT